GCCTGAGCGCCGCTCGGTCTGAACGCAGTTCAGATGGCGAGCGTGCGGCTTAACCCGAGATCCCATCGAGGAGCTATCTAAAGGGCGTTCAGCCCGTTACAGATATAGCTTAGTAGTATACTATATAGTAGAGAGCGCTTAGTTAGCGCTTTAAAATGAGCTACTTTTGCCCCTTTAGGACTAGCGTGGAATTAATTATGAATTTTTAAAGAAAAGTGGATCGCTACCCATTTACCAGTCTAATCGCTATAACTACTAATTTATAAAGTTAAAAAATTTAATAGCTTAACATATATACTATTAAGATAAAGACTTAAACGTTCTTAAGTCTCTACTCTATTAGTTAGAGAATTAACTTAGAAAGACTAGGTAATAGGGATTATTTTAGTCTAGTTTTCTATAGTTCTTTAACTACTTAATATAATTCTCTAAAAATCTATGTGAATACTTATTAAGTACTAAATAAAAACTATTTAAATTTTAAATTATATAAATTAGTAGTTATAGAGATAGATACTGTTATAATTTCTTAATTTAAGTAGGGTTATGAAGTGGCCCGCTTGGTGGGGTGGCCCGCTTAGTGGTGAAACACGCTAATCATATAATTACTTAATTAAAATATATTCTTATAATAAGCTCTTGTTATACATTTCAAGGTTAATTTTTAAATAGATGTATGTTGAAGTAGGTTAAGATTTAAGATTAATAATTGAATACACTAGCCGTACGTAGAATATAAGAACATATGACGACTTGTGCGGCTGTTCCTTTGAAGACTAGTGCTGTTCAAAGCGACTAAGGTATAAAAACTTTCCCTATCTTCTATAGTATAACCTTAGTAAATCCTCGACTTCTTTTATATGCTAACGTTCGACATTCGTGACACTAGATGATGCCTAATCGCCATGTTCATGACATTCAAATGCGGTAGCCGGGAGAACGCAACCGAGATGCATGACGTTCACACGACAGATCGCATGGGCCGGCCTAATAACACGTTCCATATAGCGTGCAATTCCTGCCGCAAAAAAAAGGTAAGTTTCCCATTTCTGACAATCATGGCGAGATTTTGTATGCTGAAGTCTGAGACTGTAACTACAGCTTCGATGCAGCCGCGAGAAAGTGGGATGTCGTCGGTGCCAACAGCGTGGCACGCGATGTGTATACAATACGCCGAAGAGTCGAGGCGGTAGGAACAACAAGCAGCAAGAAGGGACATCAGCTGGGATTGAGCGTTCAGAGATACCAGACGGAAGTAATAGTAGTGATCAGCAACCTGAGACAGTTTTTCAAGTGAGCGGACACCCTTGGGATGATGATTCATCCTGCATCGAAGTCGCAATTCCCAACACAGCACCGCCGCCGAGACAGCCATCTCGAGATCAAGCGATGTTGTCTGGCTCAGATGTCGGATCACACAACAGCAGCGGCTCTACCACCCCCATCGCCGCCGCTGCCGCTGCCACCATCAAGGAAAGCAGCAGCAATCCTAGTAATGGACAGGTTGCACGCCAGAACGTGCCTCAAAACCAACAAGAAAGTTTTCAGCAGGTTATTTCTCAAGTAGACGGGATAGAGCAAAGTATTCAGATTGTTGCAGCATGTCCCAAAGACTCTGATACCGGATTTTTTCTTGACTTTGCGGAAGAATATTTGAACAATACACACGACGGCTTTGCTGAACTACTAGACCCTTTCGATCCGGATGGGCTCCTCTCGCACGACCAATTGCCAGGTAAGCTCCAACTCACATGTTTTGTCTCATAAGAGGCGCACTCGTTGCATCGCATGCTCATTCAGTACTGCGTTAGTTGAAAATTTGTCCGATCCCACGTTGACCCAAGTCGGCAATTTCAACAACAACGACCGAGGCCCAGACGGTTCTACCCGCGCACTCAGCCACGACTCAAGCAAATACCAGTCGCTTGCTCCTACGGACCAATCAATGCAGATATCCTATTCCAAGTCCAGCAGCATCTTCTGCTCAAAGTCAAATACATTCAACTTAAATCGAACACCATCTTCAAGCTCGTCACGTAACGTAATGGACACCGATACAGACTCATATGAGGATTTCAACAACAGCTACGACGATGGAGACTGCGAGTGCATGGACACAGCTCTACAGATCCTCGAAGAAGTCATCATACTCCCCGTAGGTGCCGACTGGGCTATGGCGGAGAACACAATGTTTCTTCTCAAAAATAACATCTCTCGGTGCCTTGTCCTATCTCAATGTCGCGGGTGCCGACAAGAGTCAGGCATCTGTATGTTAATACTGGTGATATATGAGAAGCTCATAACTGGGTTTGAGGACGTCGCACAATGGTGGGACGAGCATGGTCATCCTCAGGGAGCTCGGAGCGATAGCCGTAGTAATCGCAGAGAAAGACATCGTCAGTCGCAACAGCAACAGCAACAACAACAACAACAAAGACCTTTTGGGTCGAGACAACACCGACAACAAACCCGATTTACAATGGGAAAATACCAGATTGATACTGATGAAGAGCACCGGGCTGTGTTCGCGACCATCATCGCCTGCCAACTGCAACGACTTGCTGGACTTTCATTGTTGATGATGCAGCATAGCAAGAAGGCAAATTGGCTGGCGTATGTGCAATACGGAGAAGGACTTCGACTCAGGATGAAGAAACTGGAGAAGAAGTGGAAGTGTTGATGAACAGACAGAGAGGTTACAATTCCACAATTCTGATGATTTTCTTGATGCTTCCATGATCGAGGGGGAAGGCGCAGTGGTGACGCGCCTGGAACATCATATGTCCCAGCCCACACAAGAACACGACCGAGACGACAATGCACTACGAGGTGCCAATACACACCACCAGGTTCAAGCTCCGATAACCTTCTTATCTTACGGATGTTTTTCAGATTTTCCGGAGTTTGAAGTGGAGATAGTAAGGGATAAGGACAAAGAAGGCGTGATAAGAGATAGAAGGTCATCGATTGTAGAATCTTTCTCTCCTCTAACAGTGGTGTATGACCCAACGCACCATAGTAGATGCCCGAACATCTAGCAACAAAGTAGATAAAACACCTTGAACGGCGGTTGCTCCCAAGTCTTACATAGTCACTGACTGCAGATAGACACTAATAGATCAAGAATGATGATTGATTGTTGCATAGACGATGAGGTGTGTGCCAGTTAGAAGACAGGGAAAATTTTTTTGCGTATGTCCATGTATGCTGAAAACGAGCATCAGCGTCTTAAGCGAGTTTTGCGAACTAATTATAGGATTCGAAGATTTGGGTCAAGACCGTATGCTAAGAACCCCTTACTCGCACACCGCTACCCAAGCTCAGACGCCCTTTTTACCATCTCCCTCAATGCCGGCATTTTCCTTCCGCACTTCTCTCCTTCACTCAATACATCTTCTGGCATCCTGCAGTCTTGCTTTGCAACCTGTCCGCCATGGGGGAACGCGTTGAACTTGGGATATTCGAGGGGTCTGGCGTTTACTTCGATAGGTGCATCGGTAATTCTTGCCCGCCTTGAGCAAGAAGTGGTAGGTACTCTATTTCTACACAGAAATGTGGCCAGTTAGTGATACGAACGATAGTATGAATGTGAGGGAATGATATGCAAGATCAAGAAGACTAAGTTTCCATCCAATATATATATCGATGCCGCGAGCTACCTAAAAAGAGCCCCTCTTAGTGATACGACAAAGTTCGAATAACTTCGTGGTAAGTAAGGGACTATTTTAGGAGGCGCAGTCAATGGACTAGTGGCGTCATGTATTTCTTTTACTCGTAGAACTACATAATATCTGGTATTCAGTACATAGCTATCTCCATTAGCCTAATCATCATTCGTAAAAGGCATCTATTTCCGCTACTGCTGGCTGGTCCTAAGGCCTGATGGCCGCAATAGTCTCTACGATTGGAAACTTGTACTCGCCATTAGTGAATGCCTCGGCTGGTGAGTAGAATCGAATCGAGTACAGAAGTTTACCACCACCCGCCGGAGCTGGAAGCCAGCTGTATGAGAAATCCTGAATTAGCCATGTTTGGTGCAGTTTCAGATACTTATTAAAGGTGATTAAAAAATCGAAAAAGGCGTAAACTTACTTACTAGTCCAACTATCAGGCGGGCGAATATTAGCAGGCTGCAGCAGGACCTGAAATCTGCCATCCTCCGTTCCTTTCCCAGCGTTGGAATCATTTCCATACACCAAACCTCCACTTTCAAATTTCAACTGTGTGCTGCGGTCTCCAATGACGTATCTTCCCAGCTCGTTGGGTACCAGATACTGATCCGCACCATACACAGTCAAACTCCAGAACCCGGTTGACTTGATTGGGGGTTTGCCAAAGAAGGTAAAGAGAAATGTCGAATTCTCACCCAAAGTCACATTATCCGATTTGTTCGTGATAAAGAGGTTCTCGGATTGTACTAAGCCCAGATAACCGTGGAGTGCGCGATACGCACGACAACCGTATTCAATGCCGAAGATGCCTTGGCATATCACTTTGGGGATTACCCAATTGTTGCCAACATCAAGTAGGTTTCGATAATAAGCCGCGGAGATGCTTGCGTTTGCTGCGTGGCAGCGGTTAGATTGACGCCAGGCGGTGGGGTATAGACTCCGTCTGCAATGCCAGCAAGACCAAGTTTTAATGCTACTCGATACCGGTCCGCATATACATCGGGTTGGATGGACTGTCCAATCTTGGCCAGCAGGTCCAAATAGCCTATGACTCTGTTTGGTGCGTTCGAAGTGTCAATGAGCTCACGTGATAAACGAGGTGCTTGTGCTGCAAACGGCTGAGATAGTATACGAGGAACTGTTTTGAGGAAGGTTTGGTCCTGATAATTGCGTATGGTCGTAATATCGCTTGTAGTATTTTGGCGTACAAGAATACGACCGAGCAGGATACCATAGGTCGTGGCATAAGAGATTACGCCTTTGTAGGCTGATAGTTCAGCTGGAGTAGTGTATCTGATTCCGGGTTGGACAAGAGCATCGTCTGCACGTCTGATCAGATAGTCTCCCGGAGGAGAGTTCGTGTTGATTGAAATTCCTGCAAAATTGTTGCCAAAGCTTAGAGCAGTCAGTTTTTGTGTTAGTTTAATAACATCTAACGGCACTCACAGGTCGTAGAAAGGCCATATCCAGTTCCTTCCATCACTAATGTTGGGAATTGTCAAGACAAGGTCTTCATGTGACAAGTCGATGGCGGCCCAGATGTATAACGTGTCTGCATTTGGCCCAACTATAGTGCGATTTCGGGGTCCGGAAAGCGAATGGTATGGCCATAGAGTATTTGGTGTCTTGACGGCATCGAGAATATTCCTCACAGCTTTTTGCCATTGAGAAATGGGATATGCATACTGGGTATACGTTAAGAGAGAGGTAATGTGTTTTTTGTCATGGTTCATGTACCTGGATTGCGAATGCTGTGGCGTCTTGAGCAGCACTGTTGTAAGAGATTGAAACGTTCGTCGCTTTCGCAAGCGGAACCAGGTACTCGAGGCACGCACCGGTAGCGAGAAGATAATTGCTGAACTTCATGTTGTTGCCTAGCAGTTTGTCACATATCTTCTTCTGAAGTATCTTGCTCTCACTTCTTATATTGCAGTAACATACATAGTTAGGTGACAGAGCTGACAACCTGGCTATTGCGCCATAACCCATAAAATTGACGAAAAGGCCGGGAAGTGGGGCGCAGATATCTAGTCTCTCGATCAATGATAACCCTGTCGCAAGATCTCCTTTCACCCTAGCTAGTGCAATACTACTGTCATAATCCCTGCGATTCTTACATCAGCTCTTATACATCCAACGAAACTGGAAAATAGCGGTCATTGTTAGCATGCAAACACACCTGAGAAGATCACTGGATTACTACCTGCTTGTTTCCGCAGTAAATACGACTTGGGTGGGCGTGAATTACCAACTAGAAATCTGGAAATAGTAAAAAGAAAGGTTGTTCGTTTAATATTATGTACTTGATATGAAATTCGAAGAAGTTAATGATGCAACGCCATGGCGCACAACAACGACTAGATCATGATCTTCACTAATGACATTAAATCGCATAACCTGCATACAATCTGCCAAAACTACAATTCTATGAAGCGGCCCATATGGTACCGCATGAAGAATTTCTCACGACTATCGGCGGCCATCAAGCTCTATTTGCCCCCGCGACAATAACAAATCTCCTAAGATAGTGTAAGTGATAACGCTACATTTATTTTGCTGAAAAGAAGAAAAAATGCAAGACACTCACGACCAGCCCGTGCTTCAATTTCGTTACTTGCATCTTTGGGTGCAATTGGAGCACTGACTGAAAGTGCAGCGAAGAATAGGGGGAGGACAAAAGAAACCCTCTTGTTGATGGTTGTTAAAGCAGTGTGAATAACAATAGGTACTTTATATATAAATGGAGAAATGAGTTACACTTGTGACAACGATCTTTTGCCAGGACGTTATACGATTTATACTCCATGGCGGACGTCTCCATGTCCTAGCTGTATACACCACAAAAAAGACTGCCTATATCATGGACCGCCGCTGACACTAACAAATTCCGCCGTTCCGACTTGATTCGGATTATTGCTAGGGATGGTTTACCGAAACCGGCTTCGATTAGTGTAAATGGAGCGAGACTATTATGATTGTAGGACAAAATCATACATCTCGGCCGCTATACACCAAGGGAGCGACAGATAACTAGTGTGATCACATCCTTATACCGAAAACCCGCTATTTTATTGATAGGTAAGTGTCCAGTGGAATTACTCTAGAAGAAAAAACTTCAAATTTCTCTCATTTGAACTGGGGATAGAGTGTACCCAAAGAAGAGCGCGACCGTCATTAGTAGAGTGGAGATAGCGCACGGATTTAACCGTTGGCACCGTAAGTATTTGATGATCAAGACTTCCTTGACCTCTGGTAACATTACAGGCTGCGTATCCACGGCTGTGATATGGCCAAGGCGAGAAGCTGCGAGAGGAAGACAACCACAAATCATTCAGGGGTATAGCGTGGTCAAGTATTACATAACGTAACCTAGTCAGGCGCCATGAACAAAACAGAAAGACTACTACAAAGTCACCAGCCACTGCATTCACAAACAACCCCATTCCCTCAATCCTACTCAATCGGCTCCAAAGCCCCCTTTCCACTTATCTGCACTGGCCTCAGCTCCCTCACCAAACTCTTCATTTCCTTCAAAATCCCCGCATCAACCCAATTCCCATGCACCTGTGCCTTGACATGCACGGGCAACTGGACAATCGCAACCGGCCTCTCAAACTCCATCGTATCCAGCACAACAATATCGTTCCTATTCGTTTCTCGCCTCTCCACCATCGCAACAACCCATCCGTCACCTTCAGGAGCATCGTCGGAGCGGGGGATGAAGGCCGGTTCCTGGACTAGGGAGCCGTCGCCGGCGTAGAAGAAGCGCATGCTGCCTGTGAGGGTATCTTTCATGGCGAGGGCGTTGAGGCCGTGGAAGATGTTTTTGCCGCCATCGGAGCGCGAGGGCATGAAAGCATCTAAGAAGATATATCGATAAGGCTTGGTGTTGAAGCGCTCGTCGATGCGGGGGAACTCGCAGGGGACATCGACAATGATGGTGGGATCGGGGACACGAGTGTTGGTTGGCTGGGTGAGGTCGAGTTCCCAACGCACGAAATCGGCTTTGGCGTCGGGTGCGGGCATACGGCCATCGTCGGAGGGAAAGAAGGGAAGTGCGTTGTCGTGAACGCGTGATGTTTCGATGTAAAGTTTGTGGCCTTCGTCTTCCCATGCTCCTGCGGTGTGTACGAGCATGCAGTTTTCCCAGGGATACACTCTCCACTCGTCTTGCTTCCAGCCAGGCGGAAGCTTGGTGGTCTTTCTGCGCGGTAGGACGACGAAAGTTGCAGGGCGGTCGTAATTCCATGCCCAGTGCTGACCCCCACGTTTCATACGTTCGACATCGGCTTCGAAAGGCCACAGTACAAGAATCAGCCAGTTGGGGGTGATTGCACAATCATGGATTGCAGCAACCCAAGGACCCTGGATCCATTGCTCGTCCTTCTTGTTTCCCTCGTTGTCCAGCGTGTACACGACAATGTCTTTTGTAGCAAGGCCTTTTGCTTCGTAGCCAAAGACGACCAGTTCGTCCGTATACGGGTCCACCTTGGGATGCGCGGTGAATGTTTTAGACTTGACTTGGCCAAAGGGATCGTATACTCCAGTTTCCAGGGTGTTAGGGTTTACTGAGTAGGGCAGACCTCCTTCCTTGAGTGCCAGCAGATGCCCTGCCCAAAGAACAAGGTTTGTGTTTGCAGTTGAGTCCACTGCGGCCCGTACACATGGGTGGTGTGTATAAGGGTTACGGTAAAGCCCAAACATCGCCTTATTGGCCCGGCGTTCAATAAGATAGCGCTCCGTCTCAACATACTTCAACTTCATATCCACCCTTCCATCATGGAATCTAAATGCAGAAATGTGACCGTCTCCATCCAGAGGAACATTGTTGGGGTGGGGCGGGACGAATGGGTCCGTCATGACGCGGTAAAAGGTCCCATTTAGCTCTTTTGGAATCTCACCCAAGACGACCAAATCGCCTACTTCACCCTCCAGACGGCAAGGTGCACCACCGCCTGCGATATCTAGAGCGACGGGCCATTTCGAGGTGAGCCCGTAAAAGATGTCGTCAGTCTTTGGCTGAGGCATTTCTTTCACTTCGACGTTAGGGGGAGTTGGTCGGACGACAGGTAGTTGAACATCCACGGTGGCCATTTTGCTGATATACTAAGTTCTGGATTGTGAATCTTGCTCTCTTGGCTGCACATGCTTTCTAAAGAGTGGCCAAACATCTTACGAGAAGTCCTTGTGGAAGCTGTGGGACAATTGCCGATGTGGTGGAGAGGACTATAGACGCCCCACCCCCGCATTAGAGATCCTGGAGTTTCGGGTAGGCCCGACTGTAAGAACATAGTCATTGCGCAGAACCCGGCACGTTGGATCTTGATGAGGGGCTATACGAACCTAGAAGCATAAAAGATTTCATTTCAGGTGACTGCTAACCTGTTGCGGCCAAGATATGTATGAAAAAGGAGAAGTCGGACGAATCATGGAGAAGGCAAAACGTGGGCCGCAAGACTTAAATAGTCGCGGGAGAAGGGAGCTAACGTGAGATACACAGCAGCATTTCAGCTACAAAAAAAAACACCCCACACGAACAGGATCCTGGTATTCGGCAGTACGAGAGGGTGAGTCTTCTCCCTGGGATAGATTCTGGAGACCGAGGAGCTCTCTCGATCCGTCGGCTCTAAACAAGCTGGAATGTCTGCACCAGCTTGTCGATTCACGTGATCAGAGATTACCAACACACGACGTCATGAGTCAGCAGCTCACCTAGCCAACACCAACCAGATCTTATGCCAATACATTATCTCACCCGGTTGCCTTCAGCGATGTACCCAGGGTTACTTGTAAGATGGAATAGGATTAAACCTTCTATTGTCTAGAGTCTAATTTCATTTGCCTCGTTTCATTTTCGCTAACCAAGCTGCACAACCTTAAGCCTTGGTCTTGGACCATACCAATCCTCCAGCGTGGACGCCAGTTCCGGGCTCAACGGTCTTGCAAGTGGTGAAGCTTTGCCACAAGTCACCGAAAAAGTTGGTCTTTTGCTGGATGTAGCGTTCGCCAAGAAGAGGGGCAATAGCCCAGGTGGCCTCCTCAGCGTGGTAGAAGGGAATGCGTCTGATAAACGTTAGTTGATTTCAGAGAAAAGAGTTGAGTTGACCAAGACATGGTGGTGGCTCGGTATGAGTCAAACTTACGGGAACATGTGGTGGACAACGTGGTACTCAATGATGCCGTGGAAGATGTGGCGGCCGATGAATCCAAAATCACGGTCGACCGTTGAGGCGGCACCCTTGATGAAAGTCCAGTTGTCGGCCTCGTAGTGAGGAGCCTCGGGGTGAGTGTGGTGAAGGTAAGTAATAGCGACTAGGGAGAATTAGTTTTCAGTACTTGGCAGCTGGGCAAACGACATGCTTACCAATCCAGTGGTTCATCCAGAGGTAAGGCAGACCATATGCGAGAAGAACGGTTGAGGTTCCAACGCTGCGGGACCAGACGTAGAGAGCAGTCATAGTGAGGATGAGTCCAACGTTGCTCAGAGCAACAAAAGGAGCCTCAGAAAGGGTGAATACGTGGGCAGTGGGGTCCAAGTGGCTTTGCTTGTAGCGAGACGAAGTGTAGCGGTCTCCCTTGGTCAAGCTCTTCTTGCCAGCACCAGCGTTCATCAGAATGTAGGCTGGCCAGCCAAGGACTTGGTGGAAGATGAGAGAAGCGACAGTGATGATGGGTGTGTCGGCGGCTGAGTGATCCATGATCTTGTCGAAGATGGTAGGCTTGGTCTTCTTGGCCTCGACATCGGACTTGCGGTGGGGCACGAAAACAGTGTCCTTGTCCATGTGGTTGTGGTAACGGTGGTGGCGGGCGTGGCTGAACTTCCAGCTGAAGAAGGGGACCATCAACATGCAGTGGAGGAACCAGCCGGTAATGGCGTTGACGGTGAGGTTCTCAGAGAAGGAGTCATGGCCGCAGTCGTGGGCAAGAATCCAGAGACCGGTGAAGAAACATCCCTGGACAAAGCTGTAGAGGGCCCACAGGGGAACGGTAACGAACCACGGAGCGTCTAGGCGAGACAGGGGTACAGCGGCGTAGAAAAGGGAGAAGACGACGATGAGATCACGGACGACGTAAGAGAAGGAGCGAAGCATGGAACGCTCAAAGCATTTTGCAGGAATGGCATCCTTGAGGGTCTTGACGTCGGGAATGGGCCTGACATCGGCCACAGCGGTAAGCCGGGTCTTGACGGGAGCCTCGTGGACGCGGTGCGTGGTCGTAATCATGGTTGGGAAGAAAGGGAATGGAAGGGACACTCGTTCAGACACGGGGCGGGACGATGGTCAGGCTTTTGTACCGATGGCGGGCTGGGTTGAGCACGAAAACTCTGCCCCTTGATACAGCCTAAGCTCAACGGACCCGACATACGTTTCAACGTCGCGAGGGCAGCGATGTGCATCAGACACCGCCTTCGTGTCTATGGCGGTACGTAACAGTGGGTCTCGAACCGAGATTTCAACGTTGGCGCACAGCCCGCCCTAGCTGCCCCAGGGGTGAACACGTTGCGGTGAGCCGTGTTGGGGACATGGCAAGATAGCCGACCAGAGGGCCAGAGGGATATAGGAGGAAGCCAATGCGTAGGACTCCAAATCTACGCGTCATTGAGTTTGATGTATTGTTTTTCTCGCGTGGGCTTAGCGAGGAGGAGAATTGCATGCTCTCCGTGTACGGGCGTGGAAGTTTGCAAAGAAGAAAAAAAAGGGTTCAGGGTCCAGGAAGATGAGCCGCAGCGTAACCGGATTGGGAGGCGATAACACGAAGCCCCGTGGGCCCTGAAGATCTGCTACGGGGCTCATCAATTCCGACGAGGCCCAGGCGTGGATGGTGGGCCCTTGGTTGGTTTTTCCGCCGCACGCACGCCTGCCCACACGCTGTGCAGGAGGGATACTTATCTACGAGTAGTAGGGATAGGGATTGGGATAGGGATTGGGATAGGGGATGCCAAAGAGTGAAGGGCCCTGAGCGGGAGCGGCACGCCATCACAGGCCAGCGGGACAGTGAGGCAGCACTCTCTGCTCACTTCGCATTGTACTTGGTTAGTTGTGCACTTACACAGTACTTGCTTGTCGACACATGCACGGTGCAGATGAAGCACGGATGGGCTGGGTAGGCGGGTATTTTTTGCCCCCAACAAATGCCCAAGGTTTTTGCCCCCGGAAGAGGGTGGTGGTCTCGGCTTGGCAAGCTAGCGCGTTTTGGGGGGTTTGGTGTTGGTTGTGCCTCGCCTCGCCTCGCCTGGGCCTCGGCCGCTGTTTCGGGAGAGAATGCGAGCAAAGGCCTCTCTGCCTCGACAACAACCACCGCACCACTCATCACCCACCAGCCTGCAGCCCGCCGCCCGCCGCCCGCCTACTTAGACGAGCCACAGCCACTCGTAACAAGCAAGTACCTGCTCGCAAGCAATACCACATGTCGCCGTCGGCATGCGATAGCCACGCTTGCAGCCCACGTCGGCTTGGGCTGCGGCATGCACCTTACTTCGTACCTTACTCGTATGCAGTCGTGTGGCTAGTGCTGTTCCTCGCCTTCACCGTGCATGTGCATGCAGCGAATACCAAGTACCCAAACACTCGCCGTCTCCAGCCCGTCCCTGCCTACAAGACCGCCCCATGGTTCGAGCTTCTGCACCATCACACACATGCACACGCCATTTTTTCCACCATTTGCATCGCTAGTGCAAGCCCATCAACGACCGTTATGGTAGGTAAATAGGGCGCCTGTAGGCGCCAAACACACTGTCGTGGGCGCGTCCAATACCTCACCCACAAGACAACGAATCACGTGCCCGCCCGACTTGCTCTCGCATACGTATACAAATGCCAATGAATGCAGCACCCTGCCCCGACACCAGGCCAAACTCATACATATAATCCGACAGTCCAACGGCCACCAAAGCAGCTAGGCATCGCACTTTCAGCCAGCTCAATGACGCCAACCACTCGCATCATCTGGCGGCAGAACTTGGCCTCTGGAACATGGGCTTGTCTGTATTCATCCAGCCCGCATGTGATGACGAGCTAATTGTTCCTACACCACTCTGACGAAGAATATCTCCTACCGGGACCTAAGGTCACCCAAAACACACGGCAGCTCTTCAGCCTGATCACATCCAAATACATCTCTACCAAGCCCATGGACACCTGGGTAGCAAAGGCCAGAACATCCTTCGGCACGTTTCGTCTTGGACGATATCTCGATGACCAAACATTCCACAATCTCAACATGTGTGCCAATATGGACAACTACATTAGCTCTGCAAAGGACAGACAGGTTCGGAATCGTCATACAAGCATCTGGTCTATGACTAGCATCATTTTCCTTATCAATGCTCACCCCGCATCGAAATCGGTCCTTAGACCAAGGGAAACGGATTCCTTCGGAAGATGTGCTTCATGCCATGGCACCGAGTCTTTCCGACCCGCATCTTGGCTACTAGACGAGTCCGCCGAAACCGGCAAAATCCCTTCCTCGACACGATGAAGCGTAGATGGTATTCGTTAAGAAACGGCACACATAGATTTCTTAGGAAAACAACAGCATAATCGGCAATCGCAAAAAGTCCTCGTCAATGTATACATATAGCAAGAGGTACAAGTAGTTCAAAGTGGGGCTATCGGCACACACTGTCAACAATCGAGTTCCGCGGCTGTCCAGCGAACCAGACGACAACAGCATCGCAGCGCCCCAGGAAGCGAGAAAGAAACTCGCTTTAGCGATGCACACGAGGTTGAAGATCTACCAGCTGCTCGTCGGAAAGTGATGATCGACGCGGGGTGTATAGATCACGTGATTGGAATCTCGCCAAGCCCCAAACTATCCAAGGAAAGAGGCCTGAGGATGACAGTCATCTAGAACATCACTAACATGCCTAACCACGTACAAATCAGATTGGAAGAGACAATGCATTAGAGATGGAAAACAAGATGTCGCAGAATTACACTCGCTCTGGCTAATCCTCACAGCTGCCTCTACCACCCGACGTTTTCGTCCTGCGTTGGCATCAAAATTCCATCGATTTGATGCTTACCTCGGCTAACCAGATGCTATTTTACATTCGTGCTGAAAAATTGCGCATAACTAGGCCTTTTACTTCTAAACTTTTGTTAGGACTGCGCTCAGCGACCGATTGCCAGGATATTCTATACTTGTACTTGATAGAGAAAATGTGTAATTCATACAGCTATCTGCGCATGAATTTATGTTCAAGAGAAGGACGGGACAACACCAACTTTTTTTCGCCTGTCGATAATCCGGCCACGCAAAGGGGGCAACTCAACCCAATATTACCACAACTTACATACCCCCAGTGTACATTAGGACAGGGCAATAAACCCCAACCTTGTACAGCATACAATACTGCGAGTTGGCATTCGCATAAAGAGAGAAACAATCTTTGGCTGCAGCTACAAGATCCATCCGTCGCTCAACCGGGTCGACATGGTAGTAATTGAAACAATCTCGCGCTTGTCCATTCTCGAGACACATCGGTCACCGTAATGTATCTTACTCTCGAGATTGCGGGTTGAGAGTACACACCCAGTCTTATTTATGCAGAAAGGATAGCCAATCCTGGTTGACAAATTGTCAGCTTGAGATAGGAAGTTAAATGATTAGCGATCAAAAGTGACACTTCTGGTCCAAATCCTCGATTATATCTGTGTTTCCAAGGCTATGTCATGAGCGTAACTACGGATTTCTTTTTTTTTGTTAAATAATTCGTAAACAGAGCGTCATTATGTCTTCGGATATTTGATGAGAGATGGATCCTCTGCGGTATCTCGCTGTAGTTGCATATTCGAATTGGTTTCCAAATAGCAGATTAGTAGCGCAGGAATGTTTGTCAGCTCCTTATTAACGACCCCCTACATACTACAAACTCTCAGATGATGCCTATAGGAACTAAACTTTTCCAGCACACTAATAATTTGGTTTGAGTAGAGACGAGTATTTAAACACTGGTGGAGTTTATATCGAGAAGACAAACGTCGTGGCTAGCCCCTATCTTGGCGCTGAATCCGTTCAGCTTCACTGCACTGCTGGTCCGGAGACATCATTCGCAAACTCGATTTGCAAAGCTCCATTAGCAAGAGCATATGTGCTACTATCACCATCGCAGTTTTCTCAACATCTACCCAATCTCTACACAACATCCATCGAATACGAATAAAAGGAAAATCTCTAACCGCCCCTTCCAATCTGCCTTGAAAAAAAAATCAAACTGGGCCAGAACCAAGCATCGAATGCACAACGCGTCACAAGAGCTTCCAAATACCTCCTGCACGTGGCTTATACAGCATCGCTACCCTCACACCACCAGCTTCAATCGATCCCACTCTCACTAGCCCTTCTGCCAAGCTTACAAATATTCACCTGCATTCATTTACTTTACTCCTACTGCTCAATGCGCCATCGCCCATCTCTGCTCTGGCGATCGGAGATCCCACCCCAACAATCGACAACACACAATGCAAAGTTGCACGCACATGTGTATTGCTCACGGGAAATCTCAAACGCCAGATTGCAAAAGTACAGCGAACGAGACGTTTTGTTTTTTTCTGTGCGGGGGGGGGGAGGGGAAAATAAGTGTGGAGCCGCCCTAGCTTCGATTTTTTTCCCCGGATTAATTCAAAAGGACGTGCTACTTATGAGGTTTTGGGTGCATTTTCCCGGCTAATGTGACTTATTGGGTGGTTGCTGCTTCTCGCTTCTGCAACCCAACATCTACCATCACAAGTAATGATGATGAAAGCGGCTGCTATTGTTACGATGAAGATAGTATAAGAGATGATTGTCGAAACTGGTAATTGGGAAACTTGGATTTCGGGGTCTCTGATTACCTGGTAGGCCTATTGGTGTTGTTCAGCAGTACGTTGTGTAAACAATGACCAACACTGCATCGCCAAGCTACGGTAGGATGCCTCTAGAAGGGCCTGATTGGTGGAAGTTTCGCAGTGTACGAGAACGCCTCTATTCTCAATCGCAGCGTTTTTGTAATTGTACTTGAAAGTATATGAAGAGAGGGAGAGATGCTCGTATCGCCAGCAATCAGTTGTTGCCATGAAGTTTTCCGGTGCTTGTTTGGCAGTGGCGGGCTTTGCAAGTCTTACCACTGCAGCTTCTCCTGTTGTCCACTCAAATTCGGGTATATATCAAGGTCGTTACCTTGCCGAGTTTGATCAAGATCTCTTCTTAGGCATCAAGTATGCGCCCAAGCCCGACCGCTTCGCTCCAGCCAGACTCATCGACAATGCTCCGGAGAAGGTGTATAATGCCACACAATACGGAGTTGATTGCGTGGGCTATGGAGGGGATACTAACGCACTGGTAGCTGGTAACTTGACTCGAATCGGTGAAGACTGTTTACATCTCAACATCATCAAGCCGAGAATGAATGAGACCAAGCTTCCAGTTCTCCTGTGGATTTATGGGGGCGGCTGGACACAAGGGGCTACAACTGATCCACGGTAAGAGAGAGAACTGGAATAATGGGAAACACCTTCTGATTCAGTACAGGTACAACATGAGCTTCATAGTAGAACAGTCAGTGCTGAATAAGAAGCCTGTCATTGGCATATCTATCAATTACCGTATGGCAGCATTTGGCTTCTTGTACAGCAAGGAGGTCAAGAAAGCCGGCGCGGAAAACCTCGGTCTTCGCGACCAGCGGCTGGCAATGCAGTGGGTCAACAAGCACATTTCTGCTTTTGGCGGCGATCCTTCCAAGGTCACTATATGGGGCGAGTCGGCGGGTGCGTATTCTGTAGGCGATCACATTGCAGCCTACGACGGCAAGAATAATGGCCTCTTCCGTGCTGCGATTCTCGAAAGTGGCGGCGCTGTTGGCCCACCGCTAAACGGAACGGCTTGGTACCAGAAAATGTACGACAATCTAACGGAAACGGTCGGGTGTGCTGGTACAAAGGACACGCTTCGATGTCTTCGCGATGTACCATTCGAGACTATTGCACCATATGGATTTCGAGGCCTAGAGTGGTTTCATGTAATAGACGGCACCTTTGTCCCCAGATACGGACAGCAATCGTTGAAAAAAGGAAAGTTTGCCAAGATCCCGCTTATCCTTGGTACAAACACGGATGAGGGATTCGGTGTCAATGGTGTAGACAGCGACTCGAGAGCCATTCATGAGCTTGTGCACTCGAAGCGCTGGAATATCAACGAGAGTGTTGCAGAAACACTGTTAAAGCTTTACCCGGATGATCCAGCGCTTGGGCTGCCATATGGATGGGGCAACCGCACATGGCCGCAGTTTGGCCTGCAATACAAGCGATATCAGAGCATTGCGACGGATCTGGCCATGTACGCCCCAAGAAGGCTGTTGGCTCGAAGCATGAGCGAGCATGTGGACCGTGTATATTCATACCGGTGGGACGCACCAAAGTTCAATAACACACCAGATAATATTGGGGTCAACCATTTCTCCGAGGTAGGCAACAGCCTATGTTCGTCGTTGTGGGACTTGGCGAGGCTGACATTCGTAGATACCGTTTGTGTTTGGCAACACGGAACAGCAGATGACGCCGTTGGGGAACGCGCCCGAGAACCTCGCCCTCTCCAAACTTGTGATGCGCATGTGGACCGCTTTTGCATACGATCTGGATCCCAACGGTCACGGAGGTATGTATCATCGCTCAGACTAGTATCGTGAAGCTGCTAACGAGGATTGCAGTGCCGAATACGCCCGAGTGGCCAAGCTACGCGGACGAGAGCAACAATTTTGTGTTTCGCAAGGACCGAAGTTACGTCGAAGGAGACAGTGACCGGGAAGAAGGAGTGGCGTATATTAATAGCCTGGTGCGGTGATGATGATAAGGCTGTTGGGTGTTTGGCCATGCACACATGTATGTATGTTGAATCTGGCGCGCCATGTTATTTGGCTGTCTCTGTTACATTGATGATGCCGTTGTAAGGGTGATTGGGTGTGGGTGACGACGGTAGCATGCGACAGATGTCAAGTGTCACGGGTGGATGCAGGGCGTCGCCCGCCCCAGACGGTGATTTGATCAGCCCAGGTGAACCCCACGCGGCTACTCAAGCCTTTCACTTGATTACACACGGTGCAATCCCATGATAAGGGCCTACCAGAATCTTCATCGTGAATGGGAGGGCGGGGACTGAGCGTCGATGGGCAAGGCAGAGGCAGGGTGAGGGGTGAGAGCCGTGCTTATCGATATCGGCGGTGCGGCGCTTACCAAGGACGTAAATGCGCGTCGACGTCTACGTTGCATTCTGCGCCATTGCGTTTCAACCGCCGACGCTGCATGTCCACTGTTGATCCATACATACTTTAGACTTCAATCTCCTCGACTAACCTTCCCACTGACCCCATCGCCCAGCTCTAGCACCAGAAACACGCACATACCCCTCTCTCCTTCACCATGTCCACCCGCGGGCAATTCAATACCAAGAACCCCACCATCAAGCGCATACGTACGTACCTGTCCTGCTCGCCAGACCTGTCGCATCACTAAGGCGATCGCAGTGAAAGAAGCTTCAGAGCTCTCGCTATCGCCCTCTCCAGACTACCATGCCGAGCCGCTGGAAACCAACCTCTTCGAATGGCACTTTACAATCTGCGGCCCGCCGGAACCGTCAGCCTATGCGGGCGGCATATATCACGGTCGCATCATCCTCCCCTCTTCGTACCCGCTGCGACCGCCATCGTTCCGCTTCCTGACCCCCACTGGCCGCTTCGAAGTCAATCGCGAGATATGCCTCAGCATATCAGGCCACCACGAAGAGACATGGCAGCCCGCCTGGGGCGTCCGCACAGCACTTGTCGCGTTGAGAAGCTTCATGGATACGGATGCAAAGGGCCAGCTCGGCGGCATCGAGTGCAGCAAGGAAGCCCGGCAGCGCATGGCTAAAGAGAGCGGAGCGTGGAAGTGCGCGGGGTGCGCGAAGAGCAATGCCGAGATCATCGAGGAGAGGGCTGCGCTTGCCAAGGAGATTGAGGAGAAAGAAGGGAAGAGAAAGGAAGAAGAAGTGCCTGAGGAGTTGAGATTGGCGTATCGAGACGAGCTGGGGAAAGGTGAGGATGGCGATAGCAACATGGACAAGGGCAAAGGACGCGCAGTCGATAGTCCGGCTGATACGGCGTCTGCTAGCAAGGAAACAGCGGCTGCATCGTCAGTAGTTGATGCAACCACAGCGATGACTCCAAGTACGAGCCCTGTTCAAGCTGCACGTAGCGTGCCGGTGATAAGACCCACGAGAACTACACCTGCACAATCGCCACTCCAGCAAGTCACGCAAACGAGTCCTGATCTCGCTTGGATTGACACATGTATTTACGGCTTGGTGGCTGCCCTGCTCTTCATGGTGGTGAGGAAGTTTATCTGAGCGGCTTCGTTCAATGTGCGTGTGTCTTGATAAGCTTGCGAGTTTATAGCAGCGGCACCATGGTTTTCTCTTTACATTGCTATTATCTTGGCTAGCGAGGAGTTCTGGTTGGGTTTACAGTCTTGCTTTATTCATCATTGAAAGGTCTTTCCAAGTCCTCATTTAAATACAACATGTATTGCTTTGGCGCATTTGATCCTTTTCTTCACTGACGATATGCTCTTGGTCCTTTGCATCTACTGACGTAGCTGATCAATTGAAATGCTCGAGACCCATTGTCGTACAGGCCTTAAACTTGTTGCGTATAGCGTATTTCTACTACCGCCGACTCCTCAAGGCTGCTGTCCACAGCCAAACGGCCAGCCTTGTGTACTCCATCTTGCAATCTCTTGTGATTTCGCTGCAACTGCACTATCAGCTACGATTCGGGGGCCTACTGGACCAGAACATCTGATCCTTCTTCTCAGCTGTTACTCAAGGATGGGAACTTGCTTCAGCTTGCATCATACTGACTCGCGTCCACCAAAAAAGGGCCAATGCCCTTTTTTCACCAGCTCCAATGATATCGCCGCCAAAGCGCCATGATGAGCCCAGCCTGATGTACCCTGGTCCTTAAACTTCCTCGGTTAAAGCAGCAAGTCGCTTCATTGCGAGGCAGTATGTAATACTGTTGACCCTCAGCGTAATTCTCCACCTGAAATCACTCCTATCCGTTTCCTCAACCGCTCTCAGCCTTCCTGCCGCTTTACGACTGATAACACATCAACACTTGGCTCTCATCTCGCTTCGACGCTTTCGACTAGTCAGACTGCAGCCACCATCTGCCTTGCCAATCATGAACGGCGACGCTTTTCCAGAATCTGGGTGAGATTTTTTTTTACACTCTACTAACACAAAGGGTTTTTCGTCTTCTAGCAGAAATAATGAAGATCTTTGGCACATATCAGATCCATGGCTTGCGCAGGGATTGCCCGACTTTCTTCAAGCAGGTTTTCTTACCTCCGACATACTTGGCCCGACATCAGGCTACAACAATTATGTCGATGACATGCTGCTGGATGACCAGCTGGTGTTGGGGATACAAACCATCAGCTCCGACACGCAGGTCTATGGGATACCCAACACAGCTTTATCCTTTCCAGAGAATGGTGTTACGTTTGGAAACAACGTAGCCTCTCAGTCAAATGTTTCGGCTGGCATGGATGAAATGGAAAAGTATGTGCTGTCGTGTCCCTATATTATCTACATTCAAGCTTACCTCCTCGCCGCATGTTGGGTGACTCCGTCAGAGCCGATGCCTATGATACAAGCGGTATTATGGATCAATCTCAGGCACATCCGTCTATCTTTGCTCCCCAGGAAAGCTTTCCAGCGGAGAATTTTGGAATAGACGCCCAAGGATCTTGGACTGAATCATTCAAGTACCCTGAAGCCTGCTCACAGAAATCGCATGCAGCTAGTCGCAAATGCGATCAATGTCTGGTGGTTTTTTGCAACCCACGTGACTTGGCCTCTCATTGTTATCAATCAGGCCATCCAGGATTTGCCTGTAAGCATGATGATTGCGACAAGAAGTTCACTCTATTCGGAACATACCGACGGCACCAGAGAGAACATCAAGATGATGCTCCACGTTTCCCCTGTAGGTACTGCAGGAAGTATAGGGGATCCAAGGGTTTCAAGCGTAGAGATCATCTCATACAACACGTCCGGAATTATCATCATATTGGCGAGAATGACCGGGATGAAAACTGGTCGTACGGACGTTATTGGTGCCGGAATTTAGGGTGTGCCCACAAGGCGGGAAAAGATGGTATATTCTCCACCTCGAGAGAATACATCAAGCACATGCGTACCATTCACGACGAGTCCGAGTTTCCATGCCCACAACCTGGCTGTGACCGCGTAAATAGCAAGGGTTACTTCCGTAAGGCCGATCTTCGCACCCATCTTCGCAAGGTCCACGGCACATATGATACTTTGGAAGGCGATGGAGTATAGGCCACTCCTAGAAGCCTTACAACACTATGACGGCAATTAGACCATCACTCAAGACACGGCGGCATCTTTTCCTACTCGCATGCAATCTCATGTCGCTACAACATTACGGAGTCCAAAAAACATGAGTAGAAAGAAGGAGGAACGGGCGCAAATCATCGTCTGACGAGTAACCCCCACAAGAACAAGTATAATGTCGCCAGAGTTTCCTTTCTCAACTTCTTACAATACCTAAATACAGAAAACGACAAAAAAACGAAAAGAACAGAGGAAACCCCAACAACACAGTAGTGAGTACATCGAGTCTTTTCACTCTTCCATTTTGGCAAAGAGTCATGTTTTGCGTCTACCTTTGTATCCTTGTCCTCTCTACTTCGTCCTTGTTTTTTCTATTTTACGTCCCCTTCTGTATCTCCATTTCGGATCTCGTTATATAGAATAACCAACTATCGTCGCTCCTTACATATATGATGAAACCAAACGTGACACCAAACACCAAGAAGCACATTTATATTAGTACAACGATAACAAAGCCAGCACATAATCTCGTGACATGCCATGTAAAGGACAAACGTAAAAGGAAGAATACGAATATGCAGCACAGTATCTAAATCATAGCAAGTGATTACTCGGAAAAAAAGAGCAGAAGGGGGTATCCCTAGTTCGACAGTTCGTCCCGCCAACTATGCAGCAAATACTATCCTTCATAACCATGCTAAGAAACAAGTAAAGGAAAAACAAAATAAAATAAAATAAACCCCATGTGTATATGCTCAATCAACGCTCCATCCATCCATTCATACATGCACCAAAAAACACTCAGTTGCCAGAACCATTAAACCCTAAACACCAAACCCCATACATACAAATGCCAAACACCCAGCCGAATTCGCCGCGAACTATGCACCTTGTCAATGCCGCAAGTTATATATAAACAAGGATATGAGTATCCAGGTACAATGAAATCACTGCAGCTTGAACAAAACAACACAAGCCAAACACCCGACGGCCAGCACCGTCCCCGAGACTTCCGGCCTCTTGACCCACGATCGGAGTCCTAGGGACGATTTCGGCAGGGAGGAATGGCGTTGAGCCCTACGCATAACATTTGGATCGATAAGCCCAGACTTTTCGAGTACGGGACAAACATCCCTCGGTTCTTGCTGTTGCTCTTGCTTTTTTTCTTCCTGGTGCTGGCCGTCATGGTTGTGTACAGCATCGGTCGAGTTGCTTGGTGGAAAATGGAAATCAGTCCCAATCAAATCATCCAGCTCATCCACAAGCTCTGCGCATTGCTTGAAGATTTGCTTGGCCTCTTCGATGATGTCGATGCGTTCGTCGGGGGTGAAGAGCGTCTCGGCAGCAGACAAGCGCAACTTAAATTCGGACTTGATATCCTCGCCATCGTGAGGGCCGGGGAAGTGCCAGAATGAGAGACCTTGAATCTTCAAATCCAGACATTTATCATGTGCTTCTTCTTGTGAGCCAGTGGTGGCTGCTGAGGGCCAGAAACTTGGTGGGGCACGGAGCAAGCCTCCTCTTATCCACCTTCCGCCCGAGAAGATGGCCATGTAGAAACACCACGCATAGCTGACTAGCGTCCAGGGCCTCTCATTCACGCTCTTCCGGATGTGCGTGCAAAATTGCGCAACCTTATCGCCCGGGTACTTTGCCAATAGGACCTCGAGATCGGTGGGGTGTAGGCCTAGCAGGTATTCCAAATCCCTCTTTAATCGGGCCGAGCGTATCAGGCCTCTCGGCCGTAGAGTTTGCAGGAAAGAAGTGAGTTGCGGAGACGGGGGTGTTGGGGCGCCGAGGGTGGATGTGAAGAGTGAGGGCGAGTCGTAGGGATTTACAAGGAGATAGGATAGCAATGGTGAAAAGGGCGAGGTAGCACCTTCGGGGTCCACTGCTGGCTGCGCAGACATATAAGGTGAGTTGGACGGGGCATAATCGCGTAATAAGTCGGCCCACAAGGATTCAAAGGTCAGGAAGATGTGTGCAAAATGTAGCAGGCCTGTCGCATAAAGCGTCGAGTCTGTGGTATGCGGGGGGAGGCCGAGCGGTAAACGGGAGGTAATGAGGCGGTTTAGGTTTGTGTGTAGGGTTCTATATGAGGCGGATCAGCGTGCTGGTTCATAAATACACAAAAAAGGAAGCGGCGGGGTGGGAAATCATACCGGGTCGCAGCATTGATTTCGCCAGACAAGGAGAGCGGCAGTCTGGGTGTGTCATGCCTCGCCTCGTTGTCCCGCAGCGCATATTCTTGCTTCTCCAACATGTCTGCACAGTGAGATGTAGACAAATCAAGGGCCGTGGTTCAAAGTATCTATTGGCGGGTGTAGTGTATGAGGAGTAGCAGAGTAGTGTAGGTAGTAGTTGGACGGGAGTTTCTAGTGCAGCAGTCGAAAGGGCTGGAATCGGGACAAAGGCGGAAGGTTAAGGCGGATGAATAGGACCTGCACGCGCGACAAGCACGAGGCACGAGGCGAGAGCAGCAGGCAGGGCATCGGGGGCTCGTGTAAAAAGCACGCGGAGCTAGAGGAGGGCTACATGTGCGCTAGGTGTAGATTCACGCGCGCGCCGTGTGCTGAGCGGGTGGCCAGAACAAAGTCGCCTCAATATGTGGGGGTGGATAAGTTCCAAGGTCTGCGGGCAAAGGCCTGGAATCGAGGCTCGTAGTGGCGTTGCAATGATACAATTGCGGGCTGGCGCATGGCCGTTGTGCAGGGGTCAGTCGCTGCTGGGTCGATGGCGTTTGCAGTTGCATCATCATCATCATCGTCATCGGTCGTGGGGGGAGTGGGTGGATGACAGCCATGTGGGCGACCGCAGGGAAATGTGCCAGATTGGGGACCTGATGGAGGATGAGGAAAAACAGTGGAAAGGCAGCAGAGGAGATTTTCAGGGTCCGTGTCGTGGTTATGTGTGAAATGGGGGATCCTGGGGAGGGCTGCGTTCGCATGGGCGCATAGGACCGATTGCCATCGCGATCCACGGGACTGGCCGTCCCACATCCCCATCGCAATCGCGACGGCCCCTGCGCCATCTACTTACTTAACTACTCTAGTGGTAATATATGCATTCCACTGAGGCCGAGGCTGAGAAGGCTGAAGGATGCCACTGTCTTCCGCGTGCCTGACAGGATGATGGTACCGGTACCACTGTTGACTGTCCCTGCGTATGCACGCTTGTGTGCACCTGGATCACATGCCCGGCTTGTGAAATCATCGTCATACTTGACTTACTTCTATCCTCCCCATATGCCACTTGGCCCCCAATCATCGTGCTGTTGACCCTCTGCAAACCTCCCAGCTGGTCTTGAATCATGTCCACCCGCCAAGTGCTTCCACAGAGCGAACCAATCAAAAGACACATCGTCCACGAACGGTACCATTCATCACTGAAAATTCATAGGCTATCATGAATACCTTTCTCTCCCTCAGGTAACCACTGACGCCCTCCTGCACCCCGTCCAGCATGGTCCTTATCGTCAACTGCTTACATGGCTTGCCAAAGTCACCTTGGAACCAGGCTGTGATGGACCACAACGACATCGGCATGACCTGCCAACCACGTCCTACCCAAACAAAAATCCGAGTAACAGACGCTCCTGTCGACAATGCCAAGGACCCCATATCGTCAAGAAAAACCACTCGTGTTAGCCACCATTGTTACACGGCTCATCATGTTGAACCCAGTACCACCTGAAGCCTCCGTCTACTAGGCGCTAGCCCAGTTAAAGTTGACGTCCTGGCGCGCAACTACTTCGCCAGCCGCCGGGTCGTGACAGACAGGTGCCCAAACCTGAGCCTCAAACTGGCCGGCTGCAATGTTATTGCCGAAGAATGAGTAGTCTGCATCAGTCAGCAACTGCATACCTACACATTAATTGGATCCACTCACAGCAGTAGAAGCGGCCAGGCCAGTTGACAGTGCTATCGCATCGGCCAACCGCACAACCGATACGCGTGCTGTTGCGCCACACCATCTGCGTGAAGTGGCCCCAGGCAGCATCGAAATGCGGGTTATCGTAGGGGTATTTGGTCTCCTCCTCGTGCCAGCCGTGCGTAGCAGTGCGAGCAAACTCAATCCATGCCTCGTAGTCATCAGGCGGTGGGCTCACAGAAGAGAGGTTACTGCCAGGGCGTTTCTATCATCATCAGACATTACTCTCTTCTTGTGCATGTCAAATACTTACATGCTCAGGATCGTGGGTGCACTCCTCGATGTCGGTGCGGGCTGCGTCTGCAAGCTCCTTGTCCCAAACCAGGTCCTGGGCGCAGTGCAGCCTCCGCCAGTACCAGTGAGCTCGCATCACAGCACTGATGAACTTGGGGTCATCCTGATGAGGAACATCACCTGCTTGAACGTTGCGGGGAGCGACGTCGTGGGCTGGAGCAGCGACTGCAATGGCTGCAGTGAGAGCAGCCAGTGCACCAAGTAGCTTCATGGTGAGATCCTGGGTAGATGCTAGATTTGTTTGTCGAGATTATAGGGAGTCGATGAGTGTAGATGATGTGAGTGGTTGGCCGTTAGGAGTAGCGGATCAGCACCAGAGTGCAGTCTCAATGCAAAGGAGTGACAGGAGGCGCAGGAAGCGGAAAATTGAGTGATTGAGACGGAGGGGGAGGTGACAGGCGAGGTCAATGGAGGATATATGTAGGTCAAGGCCGTCAAGGATGCCGCGTGGGTGATGGTGCGCGCCTACCTTTACCAGAGGGCCCACAAACAAACAGCAGTGGACGCCGACCAATCAAGCAAGGACACTGCTCACGATGGCGCTAGCAGGAAATGAATGCAACCAGAGTGAATGACGAGCCGAGGGCGGAGGCCGTTTGCCAGGGCGTCTTGGTGCGAGGCCAGCCTGGGGAGACCAACGGTTGGGCAGTCTCATTGCGCCCTGGAGACGCCTGATGGCTACACACGCCCACTCTCCCGTGAGCCGACGAGCCCACCGTCTCTAGCTGCTGCTACCCTGTTGCAGCCTTGCTTGCAACCATCACCAAACACTGACCACGAGCTTCATGCCTGCCGCACTGTCCATATACACGCTGCTGCCCCTCCACACTCACCCTGTGGAACCATCGGCGCAAGCTGTAAGGCCCTGAAGAGCTAGGTCTACGCATTCACTACACATTCACAGCATCAACCGCACACACGGGCGTAGAGTGGCGTTTGCCATGGTTGGACACGGCGGGGTCTGAATTGGCTGGCTGGCCTGCTGTAAACAATCCTATTTTATCCTCTATGGCCATGTTATCAAACTCACAATGTGCAGGAGTGACCGCGCAGTGCTATCGGCTCATGCACCAATGCTCCACATCCATGACCAAACTCAGTCGTGACCCGCGCCATCTCTTGTGAACATTGCCGTCTTGAGTCATACCCAACATGTCCTCAACCGTCAGGGAACGTCACACTTGTAACTCGTGGCTTGCTTTTGACAGACGGTTTTGCGCAAAACTGAATACAATCTCCCGTCATGAGACAACTCTTGCTGTGAACCCTTCCCTGACCATGTCCACGCGCTGTAAGCTTTCTATGCGTCTACCCGGTTTCAGAACACACTGCTTCTAGTCGACTGTGCTCACCCTGTCTACAGGCACCCAGCCCCTCATCGACTTGCATCGACCTAGTATAGCGTCAGAGTCCCGCTATGCTCGTGGAGCCTCGGGTCAAGGATCAAGACCACTCCCAGCTTTGGCTAAACGAGTCTGTGTAGGCATTACGGTAACACAAAGTCGCCTACGTCGCTCAGACTACCGTCCATCGGCAAGCTGACGTCTTACCATGCCGACAACCGGGGATGAACTTACCCTATAATGCAAACATACCTACAAGTGGGTAGCTGCATTCATGACCTCTACACGTCACAGACATGGGCCATGTAATCTTCTTGTATCAAAATCATCTCAGCCCTCCTTAAGTCGCTTTGCAGGACGGCCCATGATGGAGTCATCTGGGAGCCCGCTTCTCTTAGTACCTGGCAGACTAGATGTACGCATGTCATTGTCTTCTTGGCTGACCCTCCTGACTGGATACTTAACCTTGGAGTCCTCAAAACAGCTTTCAGCGGGCTTTCCGTGCATGGTGAAGTATGGATGTAACAGCGCTTTTTCTGCCGTGAGTCGTTTCTGAGGGTCGTACTCGAGAAGTTGCTTGAGGAGAGAGAGTCCCTCTGGTCCAGGCGTGTCCGGCCCAGAGCCGATTGGATATTGGTTGTTATTGAGTGTCTGGTGGTACCACCGCTCCAATCCATCGCCGCTCTGGGGACGCGGAAAGCGTGAGGCATTGCCTGATAGGAGAGACGAGAGCTGAGGATGCTCAGGCATAGCAGTTAGAAGTGGCCAGCGGTCCTTAGTCGGCATCCCCATGATCTCGACAATCTTTTGCATTTGGTTTCGCTGGAATGGGACAGTTTTTTTGCTGTCCATCTTGGCCTCCTCTCCTTTGAAGATGGGCCGCAAGGAGAGCAACTCGGCAAAGATGCACCCAATCGCCCATAAATCGACTGCAGGTGTGTAGTGACGACTACCAAGCAGCAGCTCAGGCGCGCGATACCATATCGTCACGACAACCTTATCGCCGGAGAATAACGACTGCAGTGGTTTGTAGAACAAGCGGGCGAGACCCAAATCACCAATCTTGATCTTACCTGCACTGGTGACCATGATGTTTGCTGGCTTGAGATCTCGGTGCATGACCCAGTTCCTGTGCAGGTAGACGAGGCCTTGCAGTAGTTGGTACAGAATGGATTTGATGGTACGAGCAGGGATGGCTTGGCGCTGAGGTTGGTTGTGGTGATGGATAATTTGCAGAAGATCATGCTCGGCATACTCGAAGACAATGTAAATGCACTTGTCTTCTAGGATAATCTCTGCAGTATGGACCACGTTTGGATGGGCAAGCTCAGTGCACAAGGCCATTTCGCGTATGGCTGATTGCGAGATGCCCGAGTATTGCAGCTCACCTTCCTTGTCCGGCTTGAATCTGGTGGTGTTAGCGTGGGGACATGGCCGCACTCGGCTGTGCTCACTCACTTCTTGATGGCGAACTCGCCGGTGCGACCGTTGCGGCCCTCAGCCTTGTAGACACGCCCATAGGTGCCGCTGCTGATGAAGCCGACGATTTTATAGCGCTCGGTCACGCGCTTCTTGTTGTTGTAGCCGGTGAACATGGCATTCGGACAATGTCACGGATCTCTGTTGATATCGAGGCAGACAGGCTCAGCGCGTAATCATGTGATTTGAGTTGAGATGAAGTGAATAGAGATGGAGATGGCGGGCAGACACGGGGCAAGCGATACAAGCGGGTGATGATGTTAAGACAAGGAGTATGGATGGGGCCCTGACGCAGCGAGGTGGGTTGCTGGCAGGAGGGTGCAAGGGGATAAGAGACGGCGACGGCGAAAGGCAGGCACGCGTCCCACACTTGCCATGGCCTGTTTCCCCCGCAGAGCCTCAGCCGGGGGCCCCCATCGACGCCGACTAGTAGAGTACTTACACCCACCCAATACCACAGCCATGGCCACGCCACACTTTGCGATGAGATGCAAGCCCTTGGAACCAATAGTCGTCTCACAAAGCACGTCGCGTATCGCTCGCATATCCAAGCACTGATAATTGCCGTTCTCTGTAGGCTATCGTCATCATGACCAGGTAGCTAGGTAGCCAGGTAACCATGTGACCGTGTACGTATTCAATGTATCCGAATACATAAGCTTCGCCTGCTGCAACGGGCACGTCCCCAGGTGCCAGACACAGCTTGGAGCTGCAGCCACCACCCGACTCTCCTCCATCAGCAGAGCCTGCCATGGATCCCCGTTCGTGGTTCAGCAGCTTGACCGGCTACTTTGTCTACATCCTCTCCGTCGCTACTCTCGGCCCCCTGCTCTTCGGCTTCCACTTGGTCCGTCCCTCATATGCCAACCTCACATCCTATCCCCCACGAGCTGCATAGCTAACACACACGCTGTCTATCTTAGTCTGAGCTCAACGCGCCCGAAGATGTCATCCGTTGCAAGAAAAAGTCCATTACAGCTGCCGTTGCAGGCCCGAGCCTCCCACAATGTATTGAGATGACACCCACAGAATGGGGCGTCGTGGGCTCGCTATACACGCTCGGAGGCCTCATAGGCGCCCTTTCGGCCGGTCCGCTCGCGACAAGGCTCGGCCGCCTGAGAGCCATGCAGATGTCGACCATCTTCTTCGTGGTTGGCCCCGTCTTTGAGGCCCTGAGCCCAAACATTGCCGTCATGGCTTTCGGAAGGCTGTTGTCAGGAGTCGCGGCGGGAGCATCTGTCGTGATTGTGCCCCTCTACATCTCAGAGATCGCTCCTCCTGCTGAGAAGGGCTTCTTTGGCGCCTTTACACAGATTGGCTGCAACGTTGGCATTCTCATCACGCAGCTGTTGGGCTACTTCTTGAGCCACGACTCATACTGGAGGCTTATTTTGGCCATTGGGGGCGTCATTGGCGCTGTGCAAGGCGCGGGATTGCTCTTATCCGTCGAGAGCCCCAAGTACATTTCCGAGCAGGGCAACGTGTCTCTTGCAAAGAAGACTCTACGCAAGATTCGTGGCGAACATGCAGACATTGAGGATGAGATGCGCAATTGGGGAACGTCAGATTCGTCCCATGTTAACGGTCAGTCACTCGATATGCGGGTTATGTGGCCATGGTGAACTAACATGAGCACAGAGGAGGAGCAAACGCTACTAAGCCCTAATGCGTCAACCGACGCCGGGCCGAAGCAGTCTGGCAAAGAGGGAAATCTGAGCATCATGCAGGTCTTCCGCCATTCCGACTATCAAAAGGCTGCCATCGCCGTCATCATGGTGATGCTGGCCCAGCAGTTCAGCGGTATCAACAGCATCGTCATGTATGGAGTCTCGCTGCTAGCAGGTCTGCTCGAATCCAACTCGGCCCTGCTCAACCTTGCCGTTTCGGCGTTGAACATTATCGTGACAGCTAGCTGCGCGCCCCTTGCCGACAAGCTGGGTCGTAAGGTGTGCCTGCTGAGCTCCCTTGCCATTATGGGGTCCAGTTCGCTTCTACTTGCCATTGGTATCATCAAGGCGATTCCTGTGCTCTCAGCCATTGCCGTTCTGCTCTTCGTATCCGGCTTCGCTGTTGGTCTTGGCCCTGTACCGTTTATACTGGCGAGTGAACTCGTGGGCCCGGATGCGGTTGATGCGACACAGAGCATCGCGCTGGGAGCTAACTGGATTGCCACATTTGTCGTGGCCCAATTCTTTCCGCTAGCGAGCGCAAAGCTGCACGGCAAAGTCTACTTCATCTTTGCGGCACTATCCGCTTTCTTCTTTGCATTTGTCTCGTGGTATGTTCCAGAGACCAAGGGGAAGAAGAATGCCGATGAGGTGTGGGGCAGAGAGCGCAGAGTGGACTAAAGACAAGGCACAGCATGGGGGTAGTAAACTAGTGATCTGTGAGTTATGTTTTTTTTTCTGGGGCGAATCAGGCGTTGTCAGGTGCCATGGTAGATTGACGGATGCATGCAATAGTACTAGATAGCAGATGTATGCAAGCATACAGTTAACATGAGTCCAAGTTGAAGAATCGGGGCAATGCCCATTCAGGCGTATGTGCAATACTCTGCTAATCTGCTCTGCACTAGCTCTATAGCGAGGAGGCGGAATGCTTCCAGCACCCATTCGCCCGCATGTGTCCGGCTCCGAGGGTCGGTGTGGGGCAGGCTAAGTGAGTGAGGGCGGAATTCCTAATTGCTGACCGGAACATTTGGGCGCCACTTGAATTTGCTTACATAGCCGCGGTTAGTAGAATGTCGGAGGCGGATCCCAAAATCACGACTCCCGAGCGACTGCGGGTTCGGCTATGTCATTCAGTCGCTCGCCCCCACTGCACCTCTTGCTCCGGTTTCTGTTTCTGTCTCTGACTCTGCCTCTGCCTCTGTCGCCGTCTCTACCAATTCACTCGGTAATGCGCTTCTGTTTTCCGTGACCGCAATCCCGTTTTTTTGAATCATTTCCGCCCTGCCTTCCAACATGACCGCATTTCCGCCCCATTTCTCGCCGCAGATTGGCACCGCTGCAAACGACGACTTTGATTTCCACACGTCGCCGGCGCATGAGCACTCACTGGACCATGGCGCAAACCAAGAGCGACACGATCCCCCACCCTCAATCATCTCTCCCGCCTTTACCCCTCCAGCCACACCAGGGGTATCGACTCCTTCGCATCCCCGGCCACCCCGCTCTATACCAGTCGATACCTCGCTCCGCACCGACACTCCTCGCCCAGATTTGTTGTCGCAGCTCCCCAAGGTCGAGTGCGAGGTGCGCGCGCGCATACCTACGACCACGGGACATGAAATGTGGCTACATGTGTACAGGAACAACGTCGACACAAAAGAGCATCTAGCAATCGTCTTTGGTAACCAAATACGCTCTCGTTCCCTCGACGCAGAACGTCCAGGAGAGACAGAGCTGGATCGCATGACTAGAGGCGCATATGTAGGCCGCCTATACCCAGGCAGAACCAGCTCACGGATCGAGCAACTCAAGCGCGCGGAAGGCATTCCGCCAAAATCCATGCCAGATAGTAACAAGGCCAATGGACCCTTGTCTCCGGCTTCCGCTTCATCATCAGAAAACGGAGACGCTCCGCCTGTTTCCTCGTCACAGCTACCACTTGTGCGCATACACTCCGAATGCTACACAGGCGAGACTGTCTGGTCTGCGCGTTGTGATTGCGGCGAGCAGCTTGACGAGGCTGCACGCCTCATGGCCGACCCCGCGCTGTCTCCTTCGGGCGGCGCTATCATCTATCTCCGGCAAGAAGGTCGTGGCATCGGTCTGGGCGAGAAGCTGAAAGCATACAACCTACAAGATTTAGGAAACGACACGTACGAAGCCAACATAATGTTAAGGCATCCCGCGGACGCGCGCAGTTACGGTCTAGCCACAGCCATGCTCATGGATCTGGGTTTAGATGGTGATAGGGGAATAAGACTCTTGACCAACAACCCCGACAAAGTCCGAGCGGTTGAGGGTCCGAATAGAGAAGTCGTTGTCCGAGAGCGCGTGGCTATGGTGCCGCTAGCATGGAAGACTGGCGGTATGAAAGGGATTAAGAGTGAGGAAGTGGAGAAGTATCTGAGTACAAAGGTGAGTGGATTTCTTTTTTTGGAGTTTCTTGCCGTATCGCAGTCACTGACATGAAGACAGATTGAAAAATTCAAGCACATGTTAGATCAGAAATGATAACATAAAATAAATAATAGCATCAATAATTTCAACACATTAAGTTTCGCTTTTGTATCATGTATCTGGGATTGTTAGGTATAGGCGCATGCCGTTGATACTTGAGCCACTTCAAAGACTTTCAGAACGAACGAACAGACTATACCCTACTTCACGACACATTACTTGACATTGACACCACCTTACTACCTAATCTGGCTTTTCCACAGCTTCCAGCCACTCCCCTACATCTACTACAACCCCTGGATCTGCCGTACGGTGTACATCACCATACCCAATCATACCGAGCGACCGCGGTACAAGTCCCCTGTCTTAGCCATGCATCACACAGCAGCAATGCCAACATCACTCATAACTCTGATGTCACGCCTTTATCTCGCCCACCATACTATTACAATTTGAGAATGGCTGGGGCACTACAACTCAGGCCATACATACATATCGATATATCTATTCAATCCTCTGGTCGAGCAAAGATGAAGACTTTGTCTTTTTCTGTAATTCAACATGTGGCTCTTGACAGAGCTTTTTATATTGAGTTGCGTTATGATTATGGCATTTGTGATGTTGGAATTGCGGTTATGGCAATATGATTCTATAGCTCATAAGAATGGACATGGTTTTTGCGATAGCGGAATATGATGCTATTTCTTGGAGTTTTTCCGCGTGGCTGTTTTATCTCATGTAGTAAATAAAGTGCTTCATGTATTCCGTCATTCTTTGCTTATGCTCTCCAATCAGGCACTGTCTTGGATTATCGTGCTCTAGTGAAGAAAGAAGAAACTGACGGTCTGACAAGCATGTCCATCCCTTGCTTAGTCTTTTGAATAACCTGTAGGCTCAGGCTTGCCTAGCATAAATTGTATCAAGTAGGATCGATAATATTGTTTTTTGGGGCATCAATGTGGTCATAGTAACATGCTATGTCAAGAAAATGTTTTTATCGCTTTCTCATATTGGGCTACAGACAACAATTACCTTTACTTAGAGGGAGACTTCTCTATGTTCTCATTGATTATAGCTTCAATGTAGATTCTAATCTCTTCAAATCCGTTTCCTCGTTGCGATATTCAATATTGCACTGCAAAAAGGGGTACATTTTTTCTCAATTTGATACCACAGACTTACTGTGCGTATTCCAGCTCACACAAGCCGTCTATATAAAACCCAGCCTTTCTCTGATATAGTGACTTACCTTGTCGTTCTTATACCTGTAAACGAACTCCAGTAATTGGCCCTATCTGACGTCTTAAGCAAGCTACATACACCCCCTCCCTTCCGACACAAATAGACAATCATCCAATTCAAGTTCCAACAAGTGTTCTCGACTATTGGTACCGCAAATAATTTCACCCCCTTTGCTTTCCCTTTCTGAAAATGGAGCTGTGCCCCCGATTCCAACCTCCTATTCTTCACACATCCTTCCATGCACATCCCTACTCCTGCCTTCGTCATTGCGAGCTGCCCTCTCCTACTTATACATAGACCCCTCAACGCCCTTATGAGACTAGTGACTGCAATCGAGTCCTCCGATCTCTATCTTCCCCAACAATCCCTGTATACTCATTCCATATCCCCTGTATCGACACTAAAATTCATAATTTCTCTAGAAATTGAGTTAAGGTTTTAGCCAATGCCAGTGCGTAAGGCGAGCAATACGTCAAAGATACATAGGCCGGATGGCCACATGCCAGAGCTTGGGCCGTAGCAGCGCGTCGGGCGGTCACATGGAAATAATTAGCTGCTTCTTCGTTTTGTGGGAGTACATGTGACAGGGGCTGGAAGGTTGCCAAGCGGCCGGGTGAATTAGTCACGGAGGAATCGCAGGATTTCCATGGGACGTGGGGTTGAATCTACCGCACGTTACATTGGGATATGAGATTAAGGCGCAGAATCGGTCTTCGTTGCCTCGACATCCACTCTTGAAGATTCAGTAAATTTCAGCTGCAAAGGATAATAACAGGACCTACGTCTACTCCATCATTGGTCAACATGTTGTACTTTCATCGCGTGCGTCCGTATTATTATCGTCAATCTACTCTGTTTTGCTAGACAATCCATCCAGTGAGTGGGCAGAATGCCCAAGACACCCAAACGTATGTAAAACAAAACCAACTAAAAACACACCGCAAATGCGATCGGCTGCCCTACCAAGTGATCATTCTCTAGCTACAGCACCGTTTTGTGTGAGGCTTGAAATTACATGTAACCCGACTCTAGTTTCGCCTCTTGAAGCGCCCTAGAAGCTGCCTAGAAGACATTACCGCGTCTCTAGAAGACTCTAGCTCCAGTTCTAACACAAGCGTCACATTCGAAAACTCGGAGTCTGCAGGATTGAGTTTGATGGCAAAGGCCACACCGTTGTATAGCTCGATTGTGACGTGGTGGTAATAATAAGATTTGAAAATGTCCGAGTAATGGTAGGAAGATGGTACTTGCTGATAGGGCCGGGTTGAGCTACCGGGGGATAGTGTGCCCATCTGTTCTATGGTTTCGCGCGGGAAGCAAGGGACGACGCTAGATTCCAAACTTTATACGGGCCAGCCCTTCGCTAACGTTGACACCATGCTGCAAAGTAGCAAGCCCTGGGAGGCTTGGCTGGATCACTAGTATCCGCCCTAACAGAGTTAATTTAGCCAAATAATATCTCTTTTGGATAGTTAAATCACCCAGCTCATTGTCATCAAGGGTGTGGTTTGACTGGCATATGCCAAGCACATCCACTATCCCACCAACCTATGACGATATCCCTCTTGCACGGTCCCTATCATTCTTCTCCGCCGTTTTACTGAGACCAAATAACGTTTAATAGGCGATGAGTTGTCCAATTCTATGTGCGACTATAGCAGATGACAGGAAGTAACGTAGCCCTACTACGTTTACTCGGCGCATGAGACTATCGTCAACGTATGCATGTAATGACGGTAAGTGCCTTGGTGAAGTATCACGGTATCTCATGGCTTTTTTTCTAGACAGGGCATCCCGCGTAGCACACTCGCAAAGATTTGATGACTCAATCACACCAAGGCATACTTGCAAGAAATAAGCGTTTGGGGGGCTTGCTGGATAGCGACCAGAAATGAGCGAGGGGAAAGATAGGCCTAAAGCTGCTACGGGGGATCCTCCACGGAGCGGTGAACTGGTCAGAGGAGGAAGTGGCTGAACAAGCCTTTGGAAGTAACTGTTTAGATCTACTCCACTTGCGATGGCCCAGCAAGGCATCATCGATCCCCCAGAATCTCATTACACAATTGAGCAGTGGTTGAAGGCCGAAAGATTAGGAGAATCCATCACTGGCATTACAGATGTCAGTCTTGAACAAGATTGGTGCTACTATGCATCTGCATTCGCGAGTCTGTCAAAACCCAGACAATAGCAAAAGAAAGCATAAGACATTCAGGCGTTGAGTTTGGCATACGTGAGGCTACAATGCACAGGGCGATCCTACAATCTGTTCGGCTAATGAAAGTCCTTCTAGAAGACGCAATGGTGATGTTCTAGTCGGTGGCCTAAAAGAATCGGCGGGACTATCCACATGAATCGGTGAAGATTAAGTTTGAATACAACGTGATTTTGGTATACATGTTAGTTTATGCCAATTTACCACTGGCACAGACGATACCACGATCCAGGGACCGAGCTCTTAGGCCCACGACTCACGGTCCTAGCGTCTGCACGTTGTGACTTCGATGTACCAAGACCTCAGTGGCAGAGACTCGCGATCTAGAGAGCTACGAGCATCTTGTAACTGTGTATATAAGGAGTCTGGACGGCCGCTCGAATAGAATCATCACTTACACTGACAACCATCACTCGCTAACACAGCAACTCACACTCTCTTTTCCAACTACCAACAATCTCTTACTTTTAAAGACTTCATACTTTATCCACCTACTACAATCAAGATGCGTTTCTCTATCGTCTTCCTTGCTGGCACTGCCGCTCTTACCAGTGCTGCGGTTGTTCCTCACCCTCCTCAGGGTTCCAGCTATCCCACTATTGTAGGATTACATTTATCTTCCGAGAATTCTAGTTTCTAACCAATGATTTAGCCAAGAGCCGCAGTTGATGTGCTTAATGCTTCTCCTGTGAAGGTCGGTATCAACGCCAACGTTGATGTTGACGCCGATAAGGGCATCGGCACTGACATCGACGCTGATATCGATGCCGATATCGACAGCGACGTCGATGCTCATGTCGACGCCGACATCAAAGGCGAAGCCCATCTTACGAAGCGCCGCGCAGGAGCCCGTCTCAACGGTGCCGCCGAAGGAATCGGAGCCGGTGCCTCCATCGCCGGAGCCATGAGCGGCCTCCTCCAGAAGCTGTTCCCCATCAGCAACTGGACCTCTGCCCGTGAGACTTTCACGAAAGCCACCGTCGACGCCATGTGGGCCAGGAACCCCGACAGGAAGCGCTGGGTCGCCGCTGCCTGCTACAACATGAAGTGGGACGTTGCCAACCGCGCTGGAATCTCTGATGTTGCCAGTGTCAAGCTCTCCATGGGCGCTCTCAACACTGACTATGACTGCTTTTACATTGGACGCCACAATGCGCTCTGGACTCGTGGCGATGGTGGATACGTCAACGTGAGTACCTCTCTAATTTCTGACCTTTTCTTCTTCTTCTTCTTAAGATATGAACTTTGACTGACTGACTGCGATAGCTTGCCATCGTCTCCGATAACGGCTTCTGCCGCTTTGACAGCCGCACCTCCGACCTTGACTGCAAATAAATTCTACAACTAATTCACGCGATCAAGAGTGGGCATAGAATTGGTATACAACTACACTAGATTAGATTCCTTAGAAATTTTCCTTATTCTTTGTTACTATCGTGGACGATAGAGGTTTGGTGCCGAAGAAGCTTCCCCTGGATTCCCTCCTGGCTACTGTAATCATCTTCTTCAAATAATTTTTTTTCTGTATTTATTCCATAGTAAATACAATCATCTGAACTATACTGCTTTGGTCCTGTTGATCTATACCAAACCCCCAACCCCCCCACTCAAGCACACTCCTTCTCAACCTGCACAAGCACCTTAACATACTCCTCCACACTCCTCGCCCCAACATGCGTAAAATCCCTCTTCTTGCCCCCAAACACAACATACGGCACACTATCCACCCCATTCCCCACCTGTTCCATAATAGCAGCCTTAACCTCACGCAATCCCTCCTCCTGATCCCCCACCACCTTCTTCGCCTCATCCTCGCTCAACCCAGCAGCCACACACGCCCTCTCCAGTGTTTCGCTCCCCGTGGGATCAGCTCTGTGTTCAAAATACTGACTGTAAAGACTACGCACGGCTTTGACCGCAGCATCCGATCCTTTGGTATTCTGCAGCCAGTACAATATGCGATGTGCATGCAGTGTATTGCTTATGGTTCCACCTTCGAAATCAAACTTTATACCCTCTGCCTTCCCCGAGAGTCCCATGTAATGCGCGTACATTTTCATTCGCTCATCGCTGCCATTGTATTTTTTCTCCTTGTACCATTCGTATTTGTCGATGCCGTCTTGGTAGAAATCCGGGTAGAGTTGGTAGGGGGCGAGCTTGAGGGTGAATTTGGCGGGGGAGTCTGGGTTAGCGGAGCGATAGGCGTTGAGGGCTTTATTGAGGCGGACGAAGGCGATGTATGTCCTGTGTTTGTTGTATTAGGTGAGAAGTACAGGTTATGCAAAGAGGGATTGTTTAAATACCAGGGACATATTGTGTCAAGAGTGAAGGTTATAGTTGAGTCGTATGGCATTGTGGATCAGTTGTTTCCAGAATTGTGTTTGTAAGCAAGGGAAAGAACGAACAGAGTACACAGTTCCTGTTATACAGACGTCAGAAGAACATGCATTGATCCGGGACGACCCTAGACGTGCATACCCGAGCATGCGGATACGGGCTGCGGGTCTCCAGGATCTCCGACAGACGTCATGCGGGGTGGAACGCAATGACCCTTGCTGCTTCGCTAGGACTGATCTGAACTGTGGCGCAGTCATGCTGCAAAAGAGGAAGCTGCTCAGCACGTGACACAGAGTGGCTGATGATCTTCTTCGATCAAGAACTCAATTCCATTAGAATGAAAAAAAACTATCATTGAGAGATACGTTGTACAGCAGAATGCTCAAATCTAACACAATGGTATTGAACAAGAAACCTGAAGCGCCATGAAGATATGCCTCAACAAGTGTTACCCCGCAATCACAAGGTACGAGGAGGCGGACTGAGCCTCGACTAATGGTTCAGCTTGACGTAGTTTCCTACAACGCTGTTAGGCTTGACTTTTGGGATTACTTTTGGTCTGGAACTCACCTGGAAACTGTCCTTGCTTCCCCCGCACCTTGCCAATCCACCATTCATTTTCGTTTTGTGTACGGGAAACAATCTCAATGATGTCCCCAGTCAAGAAACTCAAGTCGCCCTCGGCTTGGGCTTCGTAATCGTACAGGGCTGTGACGGTCTCAGCAGCGGGTATCCCACTGAGACGCGAAGGCTTAGGTTTTGGAGGGGGAGGCGCTGCACCCTTGGCTTTGGCGGCAGAACCCCACGAGCCTGATGACAATGCAGGTGACTTGATATCGCTGGTAGCGGCTGCTGAAGGTCCAGGACTGTATGGTGGTGGCGGTGCTTCCGTCTCTTCGGATAACGAACTTCGGCCAGCCTTGGCTTCCAGTGCCTTTGCTGCGTACTTGGATTGGCCTGGCCTCGCCCCTGCTACGCGAGCACCGCCAGTAGTCTTGAACTTGACAATGGATATCTTTTCCGCTTCTTCCTGGGTATCCCCGCGCTTCTTGAGATAGGCTGCCTCGATATCTAGGGTGAGATCAAAGTAGCCAATGTCCAGCCGTTGCATGCGCTCATGTAATGTATAGAACACGTTCAGCTGCATGTAGTAGAACGATTGGAACAGGGGCTTGATAAACTCTCTTTCCAATGTGAAGAGCTTCGGTAACTCGTCCTTGAGCAGATCATTGAAGTAGTTGAAGTCTTGTGTGGCCTGTTCCAAATCATTCTCGGCCTTGTACATGGCCTTCTCATCCTTCAATGTCTTATCTTTCTTCTCTTCAAGCTTCTTGTATGCGGCGCGGTGCCTATCGTAGTCAAGTTGCTTGTGATCGCGCTTAGCAGCAATCTTGCGCACGGCTTTTACGATTATTAGGAGCTCATCTGCAGGTCGGATGACACGAGTCTCTATCATTTCAAGCTCGGGCTTGAGGGTCTCCTGCAATTCCTGAACTACAGCCTGGTATTGCTCGCAAGCTTCTATGCCGGCTGCGTTGCCTTCGTCGTGAAACGAATTGGGATCGGACATACGGCCGGAGATTGGCTTATAGATATCGGCAATGGCTTTCGAGAACTCGATTTGGTGTGTGAGCATGCCTGGGAGGAATGGTTAGGCGGGTGTTGGCGGGGCCGTGTGAAGTATAGACGTACCATTTATGGCCTCAAAGTACCTGGACATGTAAGCAAAAAGTGACAGAGAAAAGCGTTGAAGCGAGCGCATACTTCTTTGATTCATCGTGAAGCTTCTTTGTCTCCTTCTCCAACTCCTGGAAGCGTCGCTCGGCATCTGTGTAGATCGGGTCTTTGGTGATCTCGCCCTAAAAGACGTGCCGTTAGAGATGGGCTTTATTCTCGAGAGAATAGGGAGCGCAAAAATGCTAGAAGCACAGTGGTACACGAGGGGACGTACAAGATTGAACCTTTGCTTGAAGGTTTGTGGCGCCTATGCGATTGGGTTAGCAAGCCATAATGCCCGAACAGCGCGGGGAGTTTGTCGTACTCGGGTAACGCTCTTGGTCAGGCCTTTCCAACTCATGGCGGGAGTATTTTATTAAGGATTCGCAAGAGAGAGAGGTGCAGAACACAGCAAGGGCAAACTCTGGTCACGGTATGGAGGTGGATTGATCGGGAGAGGCAGCAGGTAGCGACCAAGGATCGCGAGCGCCTGCGTGGCTGCTCAAGTCCCAATGACGTTTGTGGCTATGCAGCGGGCAGCCCTGCTCTGCTCGGAACTCCCGGAACACACCGAGGAGGGATATCACTGCTGGCAGATGACTACGCCCGTACCCACTGCAAGCGGACTATTGAATGGCGCGTATGCGAGCCGCGAACACATTGTCACCCCTGACATGGCCGTTGTTTTTTTCCCGCGCCCAAAGCCCACCTGCTGCAGCTGCAGGGCGGCGACAATTCCAGCGTTCGGCGTGTGGTGGGTGCGCACGGACTGGCTAGTGCCTCGGCCCGTTCGTCCGCTTAGTCATTGGAAAAAAGCTCAAGCTAGCTAAGAGGCGACCTGCCTTTCCAACCTTTCCACCACTGCATCTTCATTATGCCCAACATTGCACCCACCATCGCGAGGCAGGCCCTGCGCATTGCCTCTCGCCGCTATCCATCGCCGGCTTTTGCACGCACCGCTGGTGTTGCTGCACGTCGTCACTATGTCAGCGAAAGCAAGTCTTCGCAGGCGACGGTCAATGTCGACACAGCGATCAAGCAGGAGCAGCGGGCCTTTTTAGACAAGACGGGTGAGCGGCCAAGTGATGCGGCAATGCCAACAACAGGCATGGGTGCGGATGCCATGATGAGTCCCAGCGCCGGTAAGATTCAATCATTTGCCCCTCGACCCCGCCTCTCATGAGACTGACGAAATTAGGCATTCTCAAGCAGGCTACGGTAATGGATCAGGGATCACGCCCCATCTACTTGGACATGCAAGCTACTACGCCCATGGATCCTCGAGTTGTAGACAAGATGATGCCATTCATGACCGGCATGTATGGCAACCCTCATTCGCGAACTCACGCCTATGGGTGGGAGACCGACACGGCCGTAGAAGAAGCTCGCGCGAACATTGCCAACTTGATTGGTGCAGACCCAAAAGAGATCATTTTCACCAGCGGTGCAACTGAAAGTAATAACATGAGTATCAAGGGCGTAGCGCGATTTTTCGGGCGAAGTGGCAAGAAGAAGCACATCATCACGGCGCAGACCGAGCACAAGTGTGTGCTCGACAGCTGTAGACATTTGCAAGACGAAGGTTTTTCCGTCACTTACCTGCCAGTAGGGAGCAACGGCCTCATTGATATGGCCCAGCTCGAAGCCGCCATGCGACCAGACACTGCCCTTGTCAGCATCATGACCGTGAACAACGAGATTGGTGTGGTACAACCTGTGGAGGAGATTGGACGGCTCTGCCGATCGAAGAAGATTTTCTTCCATACTGACGCAGCACAAGCTGTTGGCAAGATTCCCATTGATGTCAACAAGATGAATGTCGACTTGATGTCAATATCAGGACACAAGATCTACGGACCGAAAGGCATTGGTGCATGCTACGTACGACGACGACCGAGGGTCAGACTTGAGCCCATCATCAGTGGTGGTGGCCAGGAACGCGGCCTGCGAAGTGGCACATTAGCACCTCCCCTTGCTATTGGCATGGGCGAGGCTGCGCGGATCTGCAAAGAGGAGATGGAGGTATGTATCAAGTCTTTTTCCGTTCTGTTTTACCACCACGATGATTATTTGCTTTATACATGCATGGCTTTCAGAGTGTTAGGCGGCTTCGGTCGTCGACTCGCCATGTTGACAAATGTGCAGGGGTTATGAGTTCTTGATGTTATTGATTTGTTCAAAGACATGACAGGCTGGGGCAATGGACTGACTCTGTCTAGTATGATACCAAGCGCATCACAGCGCTATCAAACCGACTTCTCGAAGGCCTGCTATCACTCGAGCACACCACACTAAATGGTGATCGCGAGCGACATTACCCGGGTTGCGTTAACGTATCGTTTGCGTATGTCGAGGGAGAGTCACTTCTTATGGCGTTGAAAGACATTGCCCTTTCTTCTGGAAGTGCTTGTACTTCAGCGTCGCTTGAGCCAAGCTACGTTCTTCGAGCTCTCGGTAGCAGCGATGAGAGCGCGCACAGCAGTATTCGCTTTGGCATTGGCCGCTTCACGACTGATTCAGAAATTGATTACGTCTTGAACGCAGTCAAAGAGCGGGTGACGTTCTTACGAGAGCTGAGTCCGTTGTGGGAGCTTGTTCAGGAGGGTGTTGATCTCAACACGATTGAGTGGAGTCAGCATTAAGTAATTCATTCATTTTAATACCCCGGGTGGGATTTGTACGGTAGGGAGGCGCACATTCTTTTAGCGCTGGTTATGGCTACGCTCGCTGAAGCGGTGACGAGACACATGACGACTATATATACTGTACTATATGCAATAGCTCTACGAATGAAATGTATCGAGCGACGTTACATACCCAATCAATCATTCAAGATGTGAATCTCAATTTCTTTGTGTTGTGCCTAGTACAGGGGCACGGAGAATGCAAATGCGACAGTTGGGAACCCATATGTTTGTGACGAAGACTGATGACGGAAGGATTGGCTGGTCTGGCACGCGATGGCTGGTTGCCAAGGTGTTGAGGGGCAATGCTCAATGCTCCGATGATGTCTTGGAGCTCCCCAGGTCCCCACCAACCTTGCAATGGCCAGCGAGAAAGTGCTGAATTGGCTGTACAGCGTCCTTGTCAATGCAAGTCAAGCCCGACGCGTCACACCACTCGCGCTAACACAATAGCAGGAATACTTGGACGTAAATCGCACTTATCACGACGCGGCCGAGACTCTTGCCAACTACCCGTCGCTCAGCGTTCGAACTGAGCCCTACAGTCAGTCGGCCTCGGAATAAAGCTTGCATAGAGGCTGACAAGAGCAGCTTATGAGAATGGAGTGTCGGCGCTCTTACTGCTCCTTACAGGCACGCTACCTGTCACATTCCGTGGTGCGACCTATGGCTTTCCGGTAGCAATATGGGTGCCTCATGCCTACCCACGAGAACCGCCCATCGTATACGTGACGCCCTCTCAGGACATGGTCTTGCGACCTGGACAGCATGTCAGCACAGACGGCAAGGTTTATCATCCGTATCTTGCGCAATGGGCGCAATATTGGGATGTGAGTATTCATGCGCTCTGCGGGCCATGAATCAGGCGCGCGTTCATAAGGTCTATGATAGCTGACTATGACGTAGAAGTCGACTCTCTTCGACTTCCTAGCAGTCCTGCGAGGCGTTTTCGCAAAAGAGCCGCCTGTGCGATCGAGACAGCAGCAGCCACAGCAAAGTGCGCCCGCACAGCAAGCTCCTCCACCAGTACCCCCACCTCCAGCTGAATGGCGACACGCAGCACATGGGACGACCATTTCCTCGCCTTCACCAGCCGTATCGAACCAAGCTCCTGCCCCTCCCCCAAAGCCACCAAAGCCTCATGAACAACAGCGATCTACGCCTCAAACACCGCATGACAGATATTCGCAACCGCCCCCTCTACCGCCGCATCCACCCAAACAACCTCAGAGTAGATACGATGGGCCATCGAATTGGCAGCAGCAACAGCAGCCGCCGCCACTGCCACCACCCCTAGGACAACAGTATGGGCCCAGTGGACAAGAGAACCGCAACATGTCAATGCTACGGCCCCAACATCCACAAGTACAGGCGCATAGCTACCCTCAGCAGTCGTTCGAAACGGGAAGTCCAGTAAGCCCAATGACACCCAATGGCCAAGCAACTGCATCACAGTTTCAAGGTTCAGGACCTCATCAAGTATCTCCTATCCAACCGAGAAACCAATATCAAGGACCGCCGGCACCTCCGCAACAACAATTCGCACAACCTCCTCCAGTACAGCAGCATTACCAACAGTACCCGCCAGGCTATCCTCCGTCTCAAAACCAGCAATACCCACAGCAACAACAACCGCAGCAGGCACCGAAGCCCCCAGTCGACCTTCTCGATGATTCACTAGAGGTCACACTGCCCTCTCAGTCAGGCAATCAAATTCCTATACCGGTACCGCCGGTGCCACCAAATCCTGAAAAAGATGCGCTTCTCCGGGCTCTCAGCCAGACGCTTGTCTCGCAAATCAATCAAACAGTTTCATCTAACATGGCTGCCATAGCACCACTTCGCGCCCAGCAAGCGGCTCTTCAGAATGCACATGCTCGATTACAGGCCGAATTAGGCGAACTGCAGCAGCTTGATGCAGCGCTTGCATCGAATGAACAGGTGTTGAAAGGTGCCATGATCGAGGCGGATCGAGTCATGGAAGATGCGAGAAGAAGAAAGGCACCAGACGTCGATGATGTTCTAGTAGCGCCTACCGTAGTTGGGGGTCAATTGTATACTCTGACTGCAGAAGAGAAGGGCATCGCAGACGCGCTATTTGTCCTGGGACGAGCTCTTGACAAAGGGCGAATTACCCCGGATGTGTTTGTCAAGGTACTTGCTGCTATTCAAAGATTTGCTCCATTGAACAGATGCTAATAGTCTATAGCAAACACGAAGTCTTGCCCGAGAGCAGTTCTTGAAAAAGGCGCTTATCAAGAAGATTGCCAGAGGGATGGCATTGGATGAATATCAGATGCAATAATGCCCGCCTCGGGGAAATACGGGAGACTTGAAAACGTTGGGCAATGTTGGCATGTCATGGTATCATATTTTGGTTCCTTGTTGCTTCATATTCAACTGCAGCCATCTAATACCAAGATTGACTTCTGGTGGCCATACTTTCTGGTCGCTTTTGGATGCTATACAATCGTGCTACGATCGAGATAAACAGTGGAAATCAGGTTTCTTGGACTGTATTACCGCGCCTGGGTGGTTAGAGAGCGGGTGACTCATTATCAATTGCTCAGTCATCGTCACTAGCCGGGAAGCATGACCAGGAAATCTTCAACACGGACAGAGTGGTTTAATCAAGGCTAAATCAAGCTCATGATAGCGCGAAGCTAAGAGACGCTCCTGCATCGAATTTCAGCGGGCCTACAATGTTCCGGTCCAGCCTCAAGCTAAATTAAGCCATCCAGTACGATTTGGGATCAGGCAACCAGCGCGCTATGGACGTGGCGAGGCAGCAGGAGAAATCTTGACTCTCTGCTGCCTGGCAATTTCTTTCTTCTTCATGTCTCGTTTTTGACCGTTGGCATCGCGCGTTCTTTTGCGCATTCACTCGCTCGCATCTATATCGACACTCGTTTTTTTGTACTAAGTAGTTGATCAGTACTATCTAATAATGTCCATCTCGCAACCTCAGGTCGCCCCACCCGCAACCGGGGCACCAGCCGCGTCTTCAAATCCACAGGACTATATATCCCAGTCCCCAGTAATACCATCGGAATCAGTTACCAGACCGAGTGCGAACACCAATGCGAATGTGAACCAAGACACGCCGATCGTCCCTGCGGGTACTCCCTCACCCGATCCGAATACGATACCTACTGCAGCCGCAGCTGATGAACCACTCTCCTTAAACGACAAGCTCAATGCTGGCGATCGATACTGGAAATTCAAGTTCGCCATCATGACCGTTATCATCATAACTGGCTTGGTCGGCATTGGCTGTTTTGCGTGGCTCATGACCACGCGTACCGGGGTCTCTGATTACTACATCCTCGATTCGTACTGGGCTCTATGGCCGAGTCTGATCTCCTGGTCTATCTCCATCGCCTGGTGCCTCATCTGCATCATTGTCTTCATCGTGCGGAAACGCACCGTGCATCCCGGTGTTCGCGTGTCAATGGAACTACTCCTCTGGCTAGCCTTCATCGTCACTGCGCTTTTTGCGCTGTTGTCCCTCCAGAACATCATGGATTACGGCATATATGGTGGCCCTGATGAATGGGGCTACGACTACTCTAGCTCCAGCTCTCATGGCGATTACGTCTTAGCGGCCAACAACACGTGGGTCTGGCAGGAAGATACCAGCTACATCACCAGTCCCCGCGATTGCACCAGCCGATACAGCGTTTTCTCCGAGATGAACTTTAAGGATTGCGCCGAGCAGGATGCCTTCGTCAACAAGCTTTGGGCCGAGAAACCACAGCGCGCCAGAGTCAACCTGACGGGCGTCGTATGCCAGTTCTTCGGCCTAGTCCTGCACTTCGTCCTTTTCGTCTGGGCCTGCGTCGACACGCACCGTCGCAATCGCACCAAAGTAAGCAAGGACGCTGAGAAACTCGCGGCGGGAATCGTACAGACGATGATTGGCAATGGTGCCATCATACCCCCACCGGGACAGGCACACGTGCAGCCGAGCATGGGGCAGAGGATGTACTATCAGGTTCCTCCGCAGGGATATACGGTTCAGCACATGTATATGCAGCAGGCGCCGGGACAGCAGCAGTTTGCGACGCCCCAGCAGATGGGGCAGCAGGGATATATGGTGCCGATGCAGTATCATTCTGGACAGCAGGGTGCCAATGCTCCAGGTGTTGGTATTGCGGGACCGAGCAGTGAAAAGGGTACTGGACCGCGGTATGCGTGAGGGACGAGATGAGCGTGGAGGATGTTACAACTGGAAAGGAGAAGTGGCTAGTGTGAGTGACTGTGTAAGCAAGATACCCCCCAGCGATATACAATTTAATGATATCTATCACGCTTCATTATTTCGATCTTGGTTCCTTGCATGATTCCAAATTCATAGCATGAACATGGGGTGAAACAAGAGAAAGCGGCAAAAACATTCCATCTTTGGAAAGTATCAAACACTTCTACGAAGCCCCATCCCTCACATTGAAAATCCTCACCGAAGTATCATCACTCGCAACCGCAATCTGCTCTTCTCCCTCACCCCCTCTCCCCGGGCGCCAAACAATCTGATTAATGGTCTTAGCAGGCAGTACCTCTTTCTCCACCATATACACCACAACCTGATCCAGCGACTCAACACCCACACTTGCAATCCCCAATTCCCCATTTTCGGTTCCAAACGCAAACACCACTTTCTGGCCCGCATCTTTGCCGTTGGTATTACACGCCACAGCCGTGACGGGAGCGTTCGCTGCAACCGTCGCTTTGAGCGTGACGTCTGACTCGGACATCTGCCATATCTTGACACTCTTATCTCTTCCGGCTGTCATGAACGTCGGGCGATCCGCTATCGACGTCCACGCTGCATCGAGAATCATACGAGAGTGGCCCTTTGGATTCGCGTGTTTAAGGCTGAAAAGTGATGGTGCATCTGCGCTACGCTCCCAAATGACCCATTGGCGGTCGCGGCCCACGCTGAGGAGGTACTTGTCGTCTGGGGAGAAAGCTAGGGAAGTAACGGTGAGGGAGTGGGCTTTTAGCGGGGGTTTGACTTCGAGCCATTCTTTTGTGTCGTAGAGGCGGATCACGGCGTGGTCGATGGAACTGGCGCGACAGGCAGTGGCGACGAGGCTAGCGTCGTGGCTGATTGCTAGAGCAGAGATCTCGTAGCCGTGGCCGTAGAGTTTCTCTGTTTCGGGCCAGAGGAGGTGACGGGCGAGGTGGTCTTCGAAGGGGGGGTGTTTGAAGTCGAGGGTGGATCTGCGGATGACGGAGGCGGGGTCGATGGCTTCGCGGTCGTCGTCGTCGTCGCCGTTTGCAAGGGGGTCTTCATCACCGACGGCTTGGATGGCTTTATTTGAGAGGCCGAGGACGGGGATGTTGGCGGCGTCGGGGAGTGATGCTGAGTCCGACGGTCGTGTGTCGCAGAGCTTGTGAAGCATCTCTGCGACTCCTTTCGGCTCGTCAAAGACACGGAGGAGCTTCTCGTCTGCACCAGAGATGAACTGAGTATCCGAAACTGTATCGATGCAATTGAGGTTGTATCCGTGAATCTGCGGTCGTGAGAATTCATGCCATGAAGACAAAATGCCGTCGCGCTTCCATTGTGAGTATAATCGTGTTGTCTGATCAGTGCCGGTTGTGAGTAGATACGAGCCATCTCTCGACCATGACACACCCTTGACTTCGCGCACATGCCCTGTAACGGCCACCTGCTGCGTCCACATATCTTCTGTAGATGAGAATGTCCACTTTCGCCAACTGCCCGTACGGCCGAGAGATACTACTGTGTTGCCGTCCGGTGACCAGAGCCCAATCCAGAAACCTCCTGCACTGCCAGTAGCGCTTGTCGAACCTTTTTGGGCACTAATTTCACCTAGCCGAGTGATACAGACCCATACGCCAGAAGTAGGATCAGACTCCCAGATCGACAGAGAATTGTCTTCGGAGGTGGACAGCAGTTGTAACCTTCCATCCCGATGCCGCCACGACGCTTGGTAGATCCAATCTTCATGACCTAAAAGTAGGGCTTCAAATGTAATGGAATGCTTGGAAGCAGCGGAGCTAATCCAATGAGCTTTGTTCGATAGCGATTTTCCCATGCTACCCAGCGCAGGATCATTTAGTGCAGTGCTCGCAGCAGGAAGTTCGTCTCCCCTGTGAAGTCGCCAGAGACGAATGTACTTATCTTGGCTGGCAGAGGCCAGAAGAAGATCACTGTTCGCATCTGCTGTTTCTTTGGTAAAAGCAAGTGCGCGGATCCATCCTTCGTGTCCGGTCAGTGTAGCCGAAAGCTGAAATCGACTGTCTTGAGACACGAATATCTGGATGGTAGTACGAGTACCAGCGACGGCCAACACAGTTGAGCTTTCATCTAGTTTTGCAAGCGCTAAGTTGAGGGGGAAGTATTTAGGAGAAAGAGTTATGGTCTGGACAATGTCGACATTGACTGAAGCAAAGTCTGAAGAGTGAGTGAGCCTCCAAATTTTGACGGTACCATCGGAAGATCCAGTGGCAAAAGTATCTGATCCAGGAAGCGTGGCTATCCGGGTGACAGGTTGCTGATGTTCCGATATGGTTTTCAGACATTCGAAGCGTTCATCTCTCCTGCCTCGCCATATGCGGATGGTGTTGTCGGCTGATCCACTAAGCAAGACTGAGACATGTGGTGATTGTGTGGGGAAAAACTTGACGGAATTTACAGGCTTAGTATGCCCACTCAGAATTGCATGTACTCCGCGAAGTGCCCCATCCTGTCTTTGTGAGTGAAGAGGACGTCATTGGTGTTGTGGACTCACTTGAGGATCCCACAAGGCAATATTATTGTCGGCGCCAAAGGCCAAGAATTGCAAGCCGGCATCATCCCAATCGGCGGCCGCGGGGTTTCGGTTGCCACCCGTGGCTATGAATTCAGGAGAGACGTGCATTGTCTGCAATGATGGTTGTGCTTGCGCGGGTACTGTATCTAGTCATCCCGCCGTAAGGATTTCTCTGGCGCTAGTCTCGCTTAGGTAGTAGCGGCGGAAGACCCGTTTGCACCCTCGGCCAGAGCAAGCACAATCCATCTCTGCAACACGAGTATTTCAGCATCGTCAGTCTTTCTTTGCTTGTTGTTGATAAGAATCATGTCGAGCGATGACACCATTCCAATAATAGTCGAGTTCAGGTATATTTTAATGCCACATTTGCAGCACACTATCCATTGACTCCCCTCACAGTGGAGGGCTCGAGATTCTCTTTGCCAACCAGAAGAAGTGTAATCTTTCGCTACCCGCCAAAGACGAATCTGGCAAGCCTACAGACGTTGCTTTTCTAGTGAGATTTCTTTGCGACAATGTCATGAAGGACCCACGTAAGGAACTGTTTGTGCTAGACGGCACTGTGTAAGTCGAGAGGGCAAAGCAACCTTGTACCTGCTAACATGTTGATTCAGACGGCCTGGTATCCTAGTCCTCATCAATGATGCCGACTGGGAACTAGAAGGGGAAGATCAATACCAAGTACAAAAGGGGGATCATGTCATGTTTGTTTCTACGCTTCATGGAGGGTGAGATATGTGCACAGGGCGCAGGGAATATCAGTAAGCCCGGGTGATGTTCGGTGCACATAGGATATTTGGAGCTGTGTAGCACATGAGAATATGGAATTGATGAACCCAAGATACAAGCCGGTGCTACAATGGAAAGCATGGCCTGGCTTACATAAGATGTCGATACGAAGCCGTGGACTCAGTCCAGCTGGCATCGATGGCGCTAGCGCTGTCGCTCTACTACCGTTCTCCTTGTCTGGATATAGTATGTATCAGCCACATTTCCTTCATACTACAAATTACCGAGAGTACTAGAATTAGCAGCATGCTTTGGGCCATGTCAGCACCCGCGTGGTGGCTTAGCGGACCAAATAGGCAACGTGGACGATGCATGGCGGGCAAGCCACCGCGGTCAGTGCATGAGATGCATTCATCTAAGTATCCGAGCTCGGGCTCTGGTGCATGCTGCATGTGCTGGCCTTGCATCAGGGTCTTGGGCCGTTCCGGTGTGCAAGGGTGAGTGCGATCGGTGAGGCGAGATAATGACATGCATCATGGATGTATGCTTACATGCTGGAGATACGAAGAATGCGTCGAGTCTGTGGCTTGATGTTGCCAGCTGACTGTTGTGGCATCGTCAGGCCGCCATCTGAGGCGCCGACATTACTGTAGCTGCTGCCAAGCATTTTCCACGTGACTGCGTGCGAGCGTGTTCCCAACCTAACGCGTGCAATTTGTCCCTTGTTTACATACCCCACCATCAGCACGCTCGACAACTTCAACCCTGCAACCATCAGGACTGCAATGTCATCCGATGATGAGGACTACAAGCTGGCTATTGCGAACTCGCTTCAACATACCGATGCAGACGTCGCGCAGAATGTCAAAGCAGTCTCCGGGGAGCCCATCGACCTCGTCTCGGACGCGGATGGCGATGATGACGACGACGACGACGAAGATCTCAAACGTGCTATTGCCCTATCTTTGCAAGTAGACAGCAATGATAACCATGTGCAGCCACTCAACAAGAGCACAGCGATACCTACTTCCGTTCAATCAGGTCTCAGCTCCATGGGCATGGATCGAAAAGCCATGGAACAAGAGCGTCTCGCGAGGCTAGGAAAGCGGAAGCGCAAGTCATCCACAGAGCGACCTTCGAAGCAGGCACCAAAGACAATTGCGTCTCCTGCGTCATCTACAGACACAGACTTACGGTATCCTATGGGGACTATCAAACGGACATTTGCCACAAAATACCCTAGGACAGACGATATGACTATCGATGAAGTCCTGGAAGCAGACACAGTTCGCACGGCAGTTATAAGTTCCTTCATGTGGGACTCTGAGTGGCTGTTCAAGAAGCTTAACCCCGTCAAGACTAAACAGTTATGGATCATGAATGCCAAAGGCAAAGACGTTCAGCAGAGGTGGCAAAAGGAAATGGAAGACATGGGTGTACCGAATCTGAAGATTCATTTTCCACCCATGGACGGCATGATACAAAGTATGCACAGCAAGCTCATGCTACTCTTTGGTCCCAAGAAGCTACGTATTGTAATACCGACCGCAAACATGATACAGACCGATTGGGGAGAGGTTGCGAATGACTGGCAGCCTGGTGTCATGGAAAACTCCATCTTCCTCATCGACCTGCCACGCAGAGGCAATGAAACTACCTCGACCAAGGAGAACATGCCACGCTTCGGCCAAGAATTGATGTATTTCTTGGAGATGCAGAAAGTACCAGAGATGGTCTTGCAGGGCATCTGGAACTTTGACTTTTCACAGACCAGTCACTTGGCTTTTGTTCATTCCATGTACGATGATTCACATGATGATCTTCGCCTTCAGCTAACACGTTGTAGTGGCGGTTCACATAAGACCGAATCAGAGCATCCCACAGGCCTTCCAGGCCTTACCAGAGCGATTCAGGATTTGCGTCTTGACAACATAGAACAGATGGAACTAGACTACGCAGCTTCCTCGCTTGGTGCTCTCAACGACAGTTTCCTATCACGCCTATACCTTGCAGCATGCGGGAGATGCTTCGCAGCAGACACGGCCACAGTTCCAGACGTCCGTAATCATATCCGGATCTATTTCCCGACCAATGAGACGGTGGAAAAAAGTGTTGGAGGTCCTGACTGCGGTGGTATCATCTCCTTGTCCCAGCAACGGTATAACGCAGACACATTTCCGAGAGAGTGCCTTCGCGACTATGAGTCACTGCGAGTTGGGATGCTATCACATAATAAACTGCTGTTGGCACGCGGTCGTAAGAAGGACGGCCGGCCGGTTGGGTGGGTTTACGTTGGGTCGGCCAATCTGTCGGAATCGGCATGGGGAGGACAAAAAGTAATCAAGAATGGCAATATGGGCAGTCTCAACATCAGGAACTGGGAGTGTGGTGTTGTCATGACTGTCCCGGAGGACAGGTTGGCTAGGCAGGACAAGGACAGGACGGTACCAATGAGCGTGTTTGAAGGCACTGTGGAGATTCCCTTTCGAACTCCTGGGTGCGGATATGGTGCCAAGCAGCCTTGGTTCTTCAGGCCAGGGTGAGGGATCATCTGGCGGTGTTCGTACGAAGTAGCGATGGACATGCCCGATTCGGCGGAATTGAGACACTAGTCTTGTTAGGTGGACCAGTGCTCCTTGCAAAGGACAGAGTAGTGTCTATCCAAGGCTCTGGACATAGGGGGCGTATACATCATGGCCGTTGAACTACGTCAGCAGAAGCAGCGGCAGTGTCATAATGCAACCCGGGGATTGTGGCTCATTTTTCTCGGACGAGGTCGTTGTGTCGTAATACGGAATTATGTGTCCGGGGTGTATTACGGCTGTGGACGGCCTAGCGCATCAAGATGCTGGTCGTGGATCGTGTGGTGCCGGGGGCTGCCGGACCAATTTCGGGTTGGTGGCGCGAACAGCGCCAGTACAGCCTAGGCGCACAAGCAGACACTGGCTTGGACAAGGTCATGGCCAAAGTCCATGTACGTATGTGCTTGACGACGATGCTGCTGCCATGACCCCCCCAACGCTGCCTCTGTCTGGACATTCAATGTGCTGCTATCGACCTTTCTCATGTCCAACATACATGCTCCCGCTGGCATGCCTCTAACGGCTCCTATCCACACCTTGTTCACGTCGCCAGCACTATCGCATCCAGATGCGACGCACGCCAAAGAGCTTCCGCTACACCTTGTCCATCTGATCCTCACATACGTAAGTATGCACATGTATGCCATTCAAGCCTCGAAAGGACCCATCTGCTAACCTTGACCCAAGCTCGACCATGTCGCTGACCTTGCGCGCGTCACACGCACCTCGCGCCTCCTCTATTACATGACGCTGCCGCGCTTGTACGAGCATGTCACACTCCGCGCCTATTCAGAAATCCGATATGTTGACGGCAGGCCCGAGGGCTATGGAAGTGCCAGCCCCTTTGCCATGGGACTGAATACGCTCGTGTCGCGCAACTTCAACATCTACATACACAAATTCCGCGTCATAGGCAACTGGCGCGAGCAAGATACCGAAGACTACAGACACGGCCGTGTGCCAGACAGCAGCATGGTGCTGCAGATTGCTATGCGTGCTGCAATCGATCGCATGACCAATCTCGAGAGCTTTGCGTACGTTGGCGCCTACACGCCGCCCTTCCTCCACCTCCTTTGCTAATGCATGTCCAGCTGGGAACTCAACACTCCACCACTGCACACTATCTACCAGGGTCTTGTGGGTAGGACTACGTTGACCTCGCTGACCATCAGGTGCCAACTGCGACGTACACCACGCCCCACGACCATCATCCCCCCGCTGCTCAACCTCCAGAACTTGGTTGTCTACGATATAGACCCTCTCTGCTATCCCGATGACATCTCGCTGCTTTTGCTCGGCTCCAAGAAGCTTGAAAACATCACTCTGCATTGGAGCCCACGCATGCGTGCCGAGGGCGAAGAATCCGTCAATTTGCTGTCGATGTTTGGTCGCTGTTTAGCAGCCAAATACTCGTTGCCAGTTAAGCGCATTCGGTTGTACAACTTGTACTCTCGCTACCCCTCCGAAGAAATGTATGACATCTTCAGTCGGGAGACCAGGATTGAGATGACAGTCATCAATTGTGGGGGTTCTTCCGATCCTCTTACCTACTTCGTTGACAACTCATGGAAGGCGAGCCCCGGCCATTTATTTTCACCCAACATCAAGATGATCCGTACCGACGATCCAGACACCGCCCTGGCTAAATCACTTAGTATCTGCAAGGGCATTGAACGTATCTATTTCATTGCAAGTAGGCGAAACGATGCCTTGTCTTCAAAAGCGACCAGTTGCACTGCGACACCCACAACGCCGTCCCACCTGACACCCAGTATGAGTAGCGGCTCTGCAAGTGCCAACGGTACACCAACTAATGGGGAGGTTCGTACCCGAAATGTTGCAAGCGAGTACCTTGCTGCTATCCAGACCAATCACCGTACAATCCGCCACCTGCTCCTTTTTGATCGATGGATCTTATCCGAGGATACATTATTCAGGCTTTGCCAATCGTGTCCAAATATAGAGCAGCTTGGTTTTGCTGGCTCTGTCCCACCACTCGAGTCCCTGCGCCAAATCCTTGCCCTCGTCCCCAAGCTTTGGGCGCTACGTTTTTTGGTCCGCCCAAACACAGACTCCAATGAAAAATCCGACATGATGGATCCGGACACCCACGCTTTCGCACTAGGAACAGAGTTCTGGCGACCGGAATACAAAAATATTAAATACGTTGGTTTTGGGGATGACTTAGTGTTCAAGCTTGGTGGAGTATACTTTCCACCAAATAGCAAAGAGTCGAGCAATGGTGTTGAAGACAAGAGCGTAAAGGCAAAACTGGCTGGGCCGATAAGAAAATTCGAAGTGGTAAGCAAGGAGAGCGTCAAACATATTGAGATTTGGGGCATGGATTCCACCGAGTTCGATCCTGAATTCCCTTGAAAACATTCCTTCGACGAAACTTCAAACCCAATTAGAGATGCTCCACGGACAAGCTTATATCAGCGATGGTGAGCGACAATGTGACTCCACACCACACTGATGCTCCATGTCTTATGAACAAACCGCTTTGCCACAGACTACTGTGCGTATCGTGGAGTCGATGCGATAACAAAATAGCAGATCCTCCAGGCTCGCGCTGGACAAATTCCATGGGATTCCATGCGTCCGTTTTCTTCACGACATTTGCCCACGATCAGCCAAGCTCAATCGTTCGACGTAACATCGCTCAAGAGCGTTGCATGCAAGAAAGTCATCATAGACGGATTCGCTCCACCGTGTACGACTTAGCCATGCGTTTGCTCCAGCATGAACACGCTGTAGCGAAGTGAGACACGTCGCTTCCTGGCAGCCTGTGGAAAGTCTATCCGCTCGTCCTTTTAATTGTCTCAATATTACATGCGTCATCATGTTTTCACTTTTTTTTCGCCACTTCTTCATGATTCTGGCAAACTGTCTGTTTCCTTATCATCTGCCACGGAGCCATGGCAAGCAATCCAAAAGTACTAATGTTTGTCTCCCCTCTCTGATCTACAGAACTCACCCGCCCGAATGGATAAGACATGTACCATGTCCGTCTCTTGTGTATCAATCTCGACCACTCTCGTTTTGCGATTACCGATACAAACTACAAACGCCTTGTAACATGGGTCATAGCGTAACCATTTCAAATACGATACGCATTGCTAGCGACTTTGCAAACAAGTATCTTATTATCAACGAAGCTGGACAAGGTAACTGCGGGAAAGTATTTTTCTGTGTTCCCGCTACATCGGCTTCAAATGAGTCAAACGACTCAAGGCAAAGCAAAGCTGTTGTTGCTATCAAGACGACAAAAAACAGATCATTGAGTCTCGGCCTTGCCCAGGAGATCCAAGCTCTGCAATGCATCCAGAGCCTCGTCATTGGCAGCCAGGTAGAGCATCACTTGCCAGCACTGATCGACTTTGATCTACCAGCAGCAGGACCAACATCACACTGGCTTGCCACAAATGCAATCCAAGGCTTCAACCTCGTCCAACTAGTGAGAGCACTCATCTTTCCAGCTCCGGTCTGCGGACTAGAAAACCCACTCCCGCAAAACACCATAGCTCATCCAGCACTCCCCGCAACCTTCATGCTACACATCACACAGCAGCTCGTCCAGACCGTCGCATGGCTCCACACCATCGCCAACATCGCCCACGGCGACATTTTCAGCGGAAACATCATGCTCGACATGTCCCGCTGTAACTTCTCTACTAACCCCGTCATTCTACTGTCCCTCGTCCTCATCGACTTTGACGGCGCAATCCTCGCTCCCGACGACATACTACGGGCGACAGATCGTTCGTCCGTGTACGAATTCCTCTTCTCACTTGGTGAAATCGGCGGGTTATTTAACCACGCTACTACATCGCAAGATGAAACGGGGTTCTGGGGCGAGTTGGTGCAGGTGCTTGTTCACAATAAGTTGAACCGCAGTGTGTGCACTTGTACGATGAGATTCGAGGAGTTTTGCGCGAAGTTTGAGGGAGAGATAGTGAGGCGGGTGGAGAGTGGGGTGGACGCGGAGACGGAAAGGGTGAAGGGATTGGTTGAGCGGGTTGTGGTGATGAGCGAGGTCGAGTTTCCGGGGGAGGAGATGGTTAAGGAGGTTTTGGAACTGGGTGGGGATTTGAAATAGACGGGATGTTTGTGAGTTAGACTTTTATAGAGGATGAAGTGGTGGGTGATACCCAGGTCCTAGTATATTGGTGGCGTGTAGTTAATCGAGTGGTCATCTCATGAAGTTTAAATATCTTTTAAAGTGTTATATAGTAGTGCTGCATCCACCCTCCGCCTAGGCCAAAATAAGCACTCGTTACGCTTCTGATAACTCACTACTAGGCATTCGATTCCTCGAGATCTCAGTAGAAAAATATGTCATTTCAAGATGATAGAGATATGCGGCTCTAAGGTGGTTAGCGTGTGCCCGTACTTTACGCGAACGAACTTGTGATAGAGTGACTTGTGTACCTCGAGGCAAGCACGTCTTTAGCTTTGAACACTTTTGAGATTTAAAAACAAAAAAACGAGAGCAAACTGGATATGTGCCTCAGTGTAGGCAGATTAAGTACTACAGGTTTCTGCAAGCAGGTGATATTTTAATCCCACGTTTAGCCTTCTGTCGCGTAGTGGTAACCTTGTCCAAATAATACTACTCGCTAGTTCCTGTCAGCGATGTTATAGCAGGTTGATATTCTTTCTGACGTGCTTACTTGGACCAATCAATGCATGGTATCAATACGATTTTACTTCTTTTGGACAGGCGTATACTAGGCGGATCTATGTCCTGCGCGGGATAACAACTAGGAACCATATACGTAAACCAGAAGCTGCAACTGTATGAATGTGTATTGTGTTGGCGTTAAGGCACCAGCACAAAGTGGCCCGCTCGCTTGTGAAACACGTTAGTTAAGAAAGTTGTGGTAGTGCTGCGCAATACTATTGCGAAGGTGGAATGGCATGGGGAAGAGGCCCTCGGAGTGAGGTGGCCCGCTTACTGGTGAAACACATTACCAGCATTATACTTGTGCTTCTAGTTCTAGCCTATAGTCTAGTACAGGTCCAGACATGTCAACGCTCTGCTCTAACCTACAGTTTGGAGCAGATCCAGAGCGGACCTAATACGCCCAGACAGCTGGACGTAGCTGTGAAGGACTCCTCCGTTGTGGTTAGTGCACGGAGATAGCTTTGAACTTTTGGTGGTGTCGATAGTCTTGAACTGAGACATAGTAGAAGCTAAGGTCTAGTTGTTTGATAATGTGGTCACTGTAAGCCTTATATTGTGTTAGATCTCACGTAATCGATAGACTTGGTTTTAGCTAAGCATACCTCTAAGGACTGGGCACCAGACATTGGTAAATGCTTCCTAAGTAGTATTTAAAACCGTTCCTTCTCCTCTTCATCGTTTTACTATTCACAATCCTCTATAGCAATCAAAGCTATTTCTTTCTGTCTCGAAACATGTTGTTCTCTATCTGTACTTCTCTTATCCTTCTTTTTACAACTGGATCTCTGGCATCCTCTTGCGGCCGCAACCGCCAGAAAGCATATCACATTCAGGCTACCTACGTGGGTGGAACTGAAGGTGGGGGGAGTTCCGCGTGGTCATGCCCGGACACATACGGCACGCCAACCTGCCCTTATGGCACCACTGTTCGCGATGTGCGCTCAACGATACCAGTATTCACTGGAGACGACCCTGCGTGGTGCACTACTACGGCAAGTAGATACTTCTATCTTTGTCATTTTATCTAAGGCTAATATGAAGTCACAGTATTTCTGTTGCCGCTAGACAGGCTACGCGAATAGATTACATGAACAGATCGCATGACTTAGTCACGCGAACAGACTTGGTCGCTAGCTATCTTCTATACGACTAGAGCTGGTAACGTCCGTTTCTACATGTTAAATATCTCTTTATAGTAAACTGTAAATAAAATTTGACTGCAATAAACTTATCTTGTATAATTCTATAGAGATAAGTTAACAGAGTTATATTCTTAATTGAAGCAGATTTACGAGAAAGGATTTGACAAAGCAACATAATCCCGCACTCACGCCAATCGTGATACTAATAGAGTTACTGTTTGAAGACTCCTGCTACGCACTCATGAATGAACAAGGTATATTGCCTCTGTCCAGAAGTACCTCGTTGATCACTACTCACGTGTTTACAGGTATTTCCCACCATCGTCATCCCTGCAAGCCTCCTGTCAGAAATACGAAAACTTCTCGAAGATGCCCTTAGTTGAAGAGAGGCTATGATTCAAGCAAGTGAAATCATTCTCATAGTAGACGATATAGTTGACCGCTTGCAGCTAATTGGAATTGATAACGCATGCTTGGACCCTGGTAGCCCGACGCTCATTAATTCCGTTGAAGCTAATCTTACGTCAGCGCTACGTAAGTAAATCTCAAGAAAACAGCACTCAAATGCTAGTTTCGCCGATGCCGTTATAGCACGACTGAACCCGTTCACCTGCAAGGACGTTGACGATAGACTAAGGGAGATTATGCCACCGTGCAAAGACTGGACCGAAATCAACATCTTCGACAAACTAATCTTTCTCGTCGCAAAAGTCTCAGGCCGCGTCTTCGTCGGTCTAGAAGTATCTCAAACACCTGAATACATTGACACCGCAGTCAACTACACACTGCAATTCATGCACGCCGTCCATGTCGTCAAGACAATACGGCCATGGCTAAAACCCTCGCTAGGACCGCGCACACCAGAAATTCAAAAGCTTCTTGGGTTGGCGAAGCTCGCTGAGAAACTACTAGGACCCATCATCGAAGAGAAAATCCACAGAAGAGCCAACGATTCCGGCTAGCGGGAGCCAGATGATTTAGTATAGTAGATAATGAACAGGAGAAATGAACAGGAATACGTCGAAAAGGTTTATTCATTACCAGCTCTCTACAACACTCGCTGTAATCCAAATGCCTACTACGACCGCCACCAGCATTCCATCCACGCTCGCTATTACACCAGACTACATCGAGCCCCCATCCGCGAAGGAAATCCGTACCGTCTTGCCCGCCAACGACCCCATCATTTTCTGCACACTGCAACAAACGAAAAAAAAGAAATAACTCGACATTTACATATCAAAGAGGTTATCCGCGTTTCCCCCAGCTTTACTCACTAAGTCACCATAAATAACCCGAAGGAAAAAAACGCCCAACTAGTATAGCAACGTCCCTCCCCCCTTTAGCCTTGGCATTGTTTGCTTTTCTTTTTTTATTATGAAAGGACCATTCAAACCAACCAACCATGAACTTCCTTTCTCTCTTTCCCCTAATTACTTAATTTACTTAGCATCTTCATCTTTCCGTCCCGCGACGTCCCCCCCCAAAAAATAAGAGGAGAGGTGAATTTTACGTCGAGTTAACTAGTTGAATACGCATACCCACAGACGTCTACATCAAAACTTCTGCATTTCCCATCTACAAGGACGAGCAGTTGCAACTAGTCTCCATGGGAAAATTTGATGGAGTCAGGTTGTACGAAGATAAAGGGGTAGGTAGCGATAAGGCACGGAATATTTATTGTGTGGAACCAGTTTGGAACGAGGAACGAAATGAATTTGGGTTTTAAGTATAGAAGGTACGTGTGTTCAGGGCTGGTTCTTTGCTGTGAATGTGATTGAGATGGTGTTGGTGCACGTGCCGCTGTGGTATGATGTCAGGATGTCTAATGGGAAGGCGAATATGTATGCGCCGGTTAAGTGGGGTATGCATTGCAATCCGGATGCGAGTTAAGACGATTTTGTTTGGGAAAGTTGAAGTGTGCTCTAGCGTTCGAATTCCTTTGTAGAAAGCTATAGAATCATCTACTACATCAGGCCATCCAACCCCTCATCATGTACCTTAAGACTCTTTTCCTTCTCCAAAAACATCTCCTGCTCCACCCTACTCCTCTCCACATCAACGAAAAAGTACAAAAACGCACAGCTAGCCAGACTCAACGAGAACAAAAAGTAGAAAGGACTACTATTATTCCCGGTATCGTCGATGATCGCGCTACTAACCAGCGGCCCAATGAACGCGCTCGTCTTACCGACAATCGAAAACAAGCTGAAGAACAAAAATTCTTTTCCACGCGGCGTGACTTCAGAAATCATCGTTTGCGAGTAGCTATACCAAGGACACACGAGAAGCCCGTAGAAGGCTTGGTACACCCAGACCTCCCATTTATTGTGGAAGCCGAAGCGCTGGGTCCATATGCCGATCATGCCCCAGCCATCCAGCAGGACAATGCAAATAGCGACCACCATGAACATTGTCTTTGTGGAAAGCCCATACGACTTTTGTATGCGCCAGAAAGCGCCGATGCCGACAGCCTGGGCGGCGATACCAACAATGAGCAGGTAGGTCAGCTGGAGGCTGTTGTATGCGACAATTTCGTTTTGCAAGGTACCGATCACCGTGACGGTGGTGTTGAGGCTGTCGCCGAGAAGAAAGTAGCCTGCAAGATACGCCAGACTCTGTCGTAATTGCCAGATCTGCTGGGATGCATAGATGAGCTGTTTGAAGCCTGCTACCACGATGTTGCTACGCCCTGGATCTTGGCCCGGACGCCGCTTTTCGAGAATGAACCAGGGGATGGCGCAGAGGATCCAGACGCCTGTTGCAAACGCAATGAGTACAGAAAGACCCCAGTTGTTGTTTGCCGCGCTGTCGTTGACGTGGAGCGCAAACATTATGCCTACGATGACGGCCAGGATGAGGATTTCAAAGACGGATTGGGTGTAGAATGCTACGTTGGAGAGTTCGTTTCGCTTCATCATGTCGGCAAATTCATACTCTGCACGGTCAATCTTTCCCTCTGCAAACTCCTCGGCCTTGATTCGCAGATCCTTTGTGTTGCGCGCGAGGCCGGGGAAAGCAGCGGTCCAGAAGGTGATGGTGGTCTGGTACGCAATGAGTCCGACAATGTAGAGTCCGACGCCAATGTGCCACTTGTCCTCAGTATGGACGCCCAGCCAGCCGAATCCAATGCCAAATGCGATTATCGAGAGTACGATGAGGATATTTGGACGCCATGTGCCGAAGTCTGCGAAAGAGCCTAGGATCAAGAAGATAACGACCTGGATGGCGAAGCTTATGCCGTTGCACAAAAGAACAATCGAGTTGATTGTGCGGTTTCGGCCCATGAAGAAGAGAGTTTCAGAATCGCTGGCAGCCAGATACATGAGGTTTTGAAAGGCTGTAGGACCAAAGTTGAAAAGTGTCAATCCGTTGTCTCCGACGTAGTAACTATTGGCCAATTGTTAGACGGGTTCAAAACAGCTAGTACATCGCGCGGTAACAATGGCATCCAGAGCGGCGTATACCTACCAGTAATACGCCCATATTTCCCATCGCGAAGTTTCGTAGCGCTCGTCAAATTGGTCAGGCGCGACTGGTGTATCTGTTTCAACAGGGACGTCGACAGCGCATTTGGTCGGATCTTCACCTAACGCGCTGAGTGGCGCAAGGCCCGGCTCGTTGGATGCCATGATCGGGACTCTTACAACGAGAAGAGCGGCCCTGGGAAACAGTAAAAGACGGCGAGTCCAAATGTCACGCAGCCTGCGTCTTTTCTATGCCGCACCGGTATTCCGCTAAGCAGCACCCTAGTCGTTCGTTACACCCATGGCCCGGAGATAGCATGGCTGGCTGATAAGAGAATGCATGGGGTAGGAGCTGCGCTTGCGATGCAGGCGTGGAAATGTGCGGCAAGTCGGGAGAAACAGGCCTGTCACCTAGGACTTTGCGCGATGCATCCAGTGTGTGATTGGGGCGAATACGATCAAGATATGCAAGCTATTGCCAAGTGGAGCTTGGCCGGTGGAAAAGATGTGGGGTGAAGCTGTGAAACCCTGAAGACTTGGTGAGCTAGACTCTAGCGGGGATGGTCTACGCCACCGCCGTCGAGTCTTTGCAACATGACCCGCTTTAGCATCTCAACCGAGTTTGCATCGGAAAGCGGCAGATGATTCTTATGAGCTATCAAGGACTCGTGTATAACCTCATAAGGTTTAAACATGGGTTTAGTAAGGTTCATATCATTCTGTTGTAGTCCCAAACCCTACTCTATCGCAGCAGCTACATCGATAAGAGTTCGACTTTTTTTCACACTCTAAGGAAAGGGAAGATTTGTTACCCTCATACAGTCATGAGCAGTACAACTCCAGGATAGCAGTTGGGTGCATTATCCATTGCTTACTATGAGCTTCTCAAATTGAGACTCCCGAATAGTCCGACATGCTTCCTCCTCCATCGCACCCTCGCGACCAAACTCACTACCAAGGAACCGGTACCAAGTGCGCATCTGCCTCCTTCTCAATACTTCAAAGCCCTCCCTCCAGGTTGAAGAAATTAAAAAGTGGTTTATTTCCTTAGATCCAATACTATCCCTCATGAAAAATAGGATACTTGGAGCCTCCCTCACAGATCGTAGCGGGCAAATTCGAAGCATTGCTGACGCACACGATCCATGTCGTCCGCCTGATATTCAAGCCGAAGTTCGTTCTCGCCGTATTCATTCTTCTCCCTCCTCAAACAGCAGGTCACACAAATTACTTACCCGGTTCAGTAAACCCCCAAGCTCATCTTGGTGCGTAACCTCCATGCGGCGCTGGGCCTTGGCCACCCGACCACGTTGCGTTCGTATCTGCTGGAGCGGCATTACCATCGCCCTGACCTTGAGCGTTTCCGTTCATTCTTTGCGTAAAATCGTTGCTGTACAGTGGATCCTGGAACGTTGATCCCATTGGATACTTGGTGAACTCCAAGTCGTTATTCATAAAGTAGTCGATGTTGCTTGACTCGGTGGCAAAGATGTCGTTGCCATAGGTAGATGGACCAGCGCTACCTTGCGTGTTCGGGAAGAACGACGCGTTGGTGCTGCTGGATTCGTGGGTACGGCTAGGAATGAAGGCAGGTGGAGGTTGCTGGATCATGCCACGATGAGGCTGCTGTACGGTACCCGTGTTGACAGCCAAATTCATGTTGATCCCGTGGTTTGAGTGAGTGGGAGCTGGCGACCCAGCATTGTTCAATCTCGCATTATGTACAAGACCTGGCTGCTGCTGCTGAGGCGACAGGGGGCCCATGGATTGCTGCTGTCCCATTGAACGCATGGGTTGCATCGGAACGCCATGTTGTTGAACGGAAGGCTGGCCATAGGCTGAAGAGTATTGCTGTTGATCAGTTGGAATAGGTGAGTTTGGGCTAGCCGAACTGTTGAAACTTGTCGATGGATACTGCATGTATCCAATATCCTGTGCCATATTCATGGGCTGCCTTGGGATGGGCTGAGCCTCAGTCTCCGGTATATCCTCGTTCGGTCTTGTAAGCAGGTTTTGGTTCAGACTAATAATATTAAGGAGGAGAGTCTGGTTTTGTGCGCGTTGGAACGCGCATGCAGCAGTTTCATTGTCTCTGGAGATATGTTAGTTATATATGTGCAAATTGGTTATACCACCAAGTGACTTACCTATTCGGACTAGACCTTATTCTCCTATTGGAGTTGGAAGTCTGAAGTTTCGTCCGCTGTTGTTGTTGCGCCACGCCAGGCTTCTGAGCGGTGTTCTGCATCGCATGAGTCGCCATCTGCAATTTTTGCTTGGCCTCCTCGGCCTCCCTCCTTGCTTCTTTCAATTTTTTCATCATGATCTCTAATTTTGAATGCCAATGTGAATGAGCGTGCTGGAGCTTTATCTGATTAGTTCGCATTAGTTCAATCTCCCGGCTCTTGAAATAGGCTTGATCCACTTCAAACTTGGCCTGTGACTTTGCTATTGCATCTTTGTCTTTGACAGCTTGTTCCTTGTCCTGCTCTGCTGCGGCAAGAGACTTTTCCAGTCCTATGATCTTGTTCTTGAGATCATGAACAATCTGGCCAAGTTGTGTTTCCATCTCAACATTCTCTTGTTGATTACCTAGAAAACCAGTGTGGGTTTCACGAAGTTCTTCTTCCAACTCTTGAATTTTAGTGTCTTTAATCGATACTTCAGTTTCAAGATGCGCGATTTTGGCCTCAAGGCAACTCATCCTTCGACTGGTCTTGATCGAAGAATCGTTGTGTTTAAAGGCTTGCTCTTTCATCGCGTCTTGGAGATTTCGAGCCTCGTTGTTGGCGTGTAGCTTCTCGGTGTAGCGTTTTTGGGCGCGCTGCACGGCCGCTGCAGTCTCGGCTCGAGCTGCAGCTGTGCTTTTCTCAGCTTCGGCGACGCGTTGATTAGACTCAGACACTGCTTTATCAAGGTTCGCTTTGTCATGCTCAAGTTCAGCGATCTGACGCTTGAGGGTGGCGATTTGGTCAGGATATGGCGTGGGCGGCAAAGACTCAAGAGGCTTTGTGGCAGACATGCTGGATGTTGGCACTGGACCCAAATGGTTTGCAGCTTCTGATTCAGGATTTGAATGACATGACGTCGTTGACATCGCAACAGCAGAGGTCACTGTATGAGGTCAGCGCCAGTGAAGGTGTTGTCTAGCCAAAAGCCAGAAAAATAAAGGACCCTACTCAATGCGCTGCCGTACGAGTGTGGGGCTATGATATTGCGTTGACTGAATGTGTGCTTGAAGTGCAATAAGCCGATGTCGGGGAGGAGTTGAAATACCTTTTGCAAGAGAAATCAGGTCCAAGTGAGATATTGTGCGTGCGGCAGATAGTCTCGCAACTGGGCAATCCGGTTAGCGTGAATTGTATTGCTCGACAAAACACTGAGTTGTTCGAGTTGTTTGTTATGGAGCAGATGTGTGCGCGATAACGTGAAGGTAGCGCAGTATGCTGCAATTGTCTGGTCACAGCTCCATTACCTTATGTGCTACAGTATAATGGGTTGAAATTACTTTATGAGCATATATCTGCCAGTGAAGGCAGTAACCATGGTTAGCTGCGCTAGCCACGTGAGCCTGGGACTTGATTTGGCCAAAACAACAAACTGAACTCTGGTTCCGCTTCAACACAAGCCGGAATATGTGCACGTGGCTGCAGCATTCTAGTTTGCTGCCACGTTGTATATGCACAGTATAGTATATGGAAGCAACATGAGCTGGTCTCGTCCAGCATATTCAGTTTATCTTACAAAGTCCCTTTGGGCCGGAAATGAATAGCTAGATTTTAGCTGATAGCGCTCAAGAATGGAGACATTTGATAAAACCACCTGGTTTGCATTTACAAACATATTGAGCGGGGTTTTTTTATTATCCCAGCCACGGCTGATGTGAATAAGTGTGCATTCCTCTATTTCGCTCATTTGCCAATGAGTCACACGTTCTTATTTTCCAAAAACAAGCCACCGTCACTTCACTTCTGTCTTTCTTTCTCCATTACGACAAGTACACGACTGGCTGTCACGTGCCCGTAAGCGGTACTAAGCTCTGTGACGCTCCAGTGCGCCAAGAGACGAAGTGTTGGAATACGCCTGGCTTGACACAGACGACGCCCTGCATTGCCAACCCTCGCCTGGGTCTGTACCCGTACACGAACGCCCAAGGTCAAAACAGAGTAATGAACAGTGCACATGGGGTACGAGACAAGAATCTGACTTGCCGATACCCGTGGCGCTAGTACCATGTGGCGTTGCTTGGTACTCACTACTACAGCTTTCTACCCGCACACGCACATGCACTTTACGTATGTATGCACTATCTATACGAGCTTTCGCCACCAGCCTCTTCTCACTTCCCCAGATTTTGACTGCGATGAAAATGCCGAAACTGCAGTGGCCTTGGGGGAGCGCTTGATAAGCTCTCGGCCAGCTAATGGACCAGTGCAAGCGTCTTGTTGCTTCCGAAGTGCCGAATTAGCTGGATGAGAGTTCATGATGCGACGTGGAGTCGCACTATTCTCTCGGTCGAATTGCGGAAAATACAAGTCAACGGAAAGACTGCCTACGTGAAACCCATAAGACTGGTGGCATCACTTGCTGTACAAGTAACATTTTCGGTGATGAGGCGAGAATGCAAAGGTAGTTACGCATCTGCACGCCTAAATATAGTACGCTCGGCACAACACGAGGAGTGACGGATGATGATCTGCAGAAATGACGTACCACGCACTAGCACTAGCACCGGATGTGACCCCGTGGGTGCATTGCTTTCAGAGGCGACTGTCTACTACTACAGTTACACTTTGTTGCCCGAAGGAAATCTATGGAGGAAAACCTACTTGCTCACTTCATCATGCACGGCTTTTAGTTACAAAAGAGAAAGATTGCCATCTTCTATAAATATAGTAGCGGTGACCCAAGCTGGTCCAAGCACACCGAAAAGTTCAGGGTATAAGATGCGGGAAATTGACAAGTCGTTGAGTCTCGGACGTTAGTACCGCGCCGGGGTTTATATCTATCGGTCCGTAATGGGGACTTGTTTTGCTTAGACCCGGCTGCGGCGTCGTACGGGTCTTGCGGGTCAGCACCAGGCGGCCGTAGTGAGGAAATGATGTACATAAGTAGGCAAGGATGCGAGAAAGGGAGCATGCCTTGTGTATAAGTACAAAAACCCTCCCACCCCAAGAAATACTTACTACACTCATCTACCATCCAAACATCGCTCTACAACCACATACCAAAAACACACTTATCAACATGCGCTTCTCAACTCTCGCCACGGCTCTCTCCTCCATCTCCTCCGCCTCAGCAGCCATCTACGGCATCACCGTCCCTGCCGTCCTCTCCCCAAATGCGACTTTCCCACTCACCTTCATTTCCAACATCGACCAGTCAAGCGCTCTCGACGTCGCCGTAGCCTACGGCTTTAGCGCCCCACCCGCCTACCGTGGCGCGCTCGGCTTCAACTACAAGACCATCTACCTCGCGGGTGAGGATTCAGACTACCAAATGGGCACCAACTACACCGTCGATGTGGTGGCGCCTGAAGCCATCGCTGGGTACAATGGATCCGTTGTTGTTACCGCGTCCGTGTACCAGATTTTCGGGTACTCGGGAGTTTACAGACTGAATTCGTTTAACGTTACTGTCGATGTTGGGGATGCATCGTCGGATGATGGTGTGGTTGCCAGTGTGAACGGGGATACGAAGGCGACTTGTGATCTTTAGGTCACGTGTGCGTGTGGTAGTGGGTAGACATGACGATGGAAGCCAACGATGTGGAAATGATGTTAGTAGAGAGCGGTTAGTAATGTTAGAGTAATGTCTGCAATAGAAAGATACTCATGTACATAAAAATGCGTTGATGATTCCTCTTGAGCATTCTTATCACCGCATGCCAGCTGTAGTCAACACTTTGTTTGTTGTGAAGACAGTTGCACGCACATCCACAAGATGCAGAGTATGTTAAATAGTCTTGATTTCGGGTTGTTAACCATGTAATTTCTCAAAAAGTAAAGCTGCTACAAAACCTGGTCACCGGGAATCGAGTCATGAACTGGTTCTGGTTGTCAGACCATCATAGCAAAGGGCAGTCGTGGAATTGTTGTATTTCAAGTACTCGGAAAGGATGCAGAAATACGTACTATCCACACTAGAAAGAAAGGGTAAGATTAGGCGGGAAGTCAGAGTGATGGTCGTCAGCTATGAGTGATAGAACTGAGTACTGTTTTCACTGAACTCATTTCGGAAAGCACCAACTGCAACAGCGATGGCTCTCTCGTTTTCCCCTATCCTGCCTTCCCACCTCCATCCCGAATGCAGGACTCTCATGCATGAGAATTCCCGGCCTCTTCCGGTATCGCTATGCATACCTTGGCCATAACACCTGCCATACCGTCAACTCAACTTCTCCTCTCTTTCTCTGCCTTCTCCGCCGCCAACATGTATACACTCAACTTCTTGCTTGACCACTCGAGCGACAATCAGTCCCTGCCACTCGTCACCCTCTCTAGTAGCGAGGTGAAAGACCTGGGGATGGACATGGGGACAACCAGCACACAAGTCAAACACTCTCTAGTAGAGGAAGTGACACAAGCCCAGCCTTCGAGGATACAAGCGCGTTCAGTCAAGGTGCAACAAGAGTTTGGACTGCTGCGAACTGCTGCTGTACAACCTCGGATGCGGAGATTGACGCGCTCCGATTGGTGCACCCGCGGAGAAGATGATACTACTCTTGTGGGGCATTGGCGGGGTCAATTCCATTCGTCCACCCCGCCATTGCTATCTCTCTGCTATCTCGGACATGCAAACAACGTGACTCCTTTTTCCTTCTCAAACCCCATCGCTCATTGTCGCTTCAATCTTCTTCTCAGTACAACCCCAATCACTCCACCGCCTCCCAAGATGAGCTCCGACGCAATCCCCACGACACAAACCGCAGGCTGGATCCAAGACCCCGGGCCAGACTGCGTCCTCCAGATCCGGAATGATGTGGCCGTGAAGCAGCCATCCGCAGGCGAAGTCCTCGTCAAACTTGAATACAGCGGCATATGCCATTCGGACTGCCACAACCTCGCTTGGCCGGGCAAGTACACCGAAATACCTGGTCATGAGGGCGTCGGCACTGTAGTCTCGCTCGGCGCAAATGTGTCGTCGGAGCTGATGGGGAAAAGAGTCGGCATCAAGTGGCTGTGGAATGCGTGTCAAACGTGCAGTAGCTGTAAGCAGGACAAGGAGAATCACTGTGCCAAGCAAAAGAACACTGGCAGGAATGTGTGGGGCACACTGCAGCAGTATGTCATTGCCGATGCGCAGTTTGTGACTCGGATCCCAGACGGCGTCAAGAGCGAGATTGCAGCGCCGCTGCTGTGCGCAGGCTTGAGTTTAGCAGGTGGCGTGTCCAAACTCGAGCCTGAGGTCAAGCCTGGCGATTTCGTGGCTATCGTCGGTGCCGGCGGCGGACTAGGACATATCGGTGTGCAGATTGCAAGTATCAAGGGGTACAAGGTGATTGCCATTGACAGCGGGGCTGAAAAAGAAAAACTCGCAAAGGAAATGGGCGCTGTGGCGTTTGTCGACTTCGCAAAGCAGGATGTCGTACAGGCAGTCAGGGACCTCACCGATGGCGAAGGCGCACACGGTGTTATTTGCGTTGCTGGAAGCGAGAAGGCATATATCCAAGCACCGGATCTGTGCAGGAACAGCGGTGTATTTGTCTGTGTAGGCTTGCCACCGGATACCTTCATGTTTCCTATGAGTCCCATCCACATTGCTAACAAGGGTATGTTGTTTCCCCGTCCAACCTATCTTGAATTGTCATACTAACTGGAAAAAAAAACAGGCCTAACAATCCGCGGCTCATCAACCGGTAGCGCAAAGCAAATGGACGAGCTACTCCAGATGGCTGTCGAGGGCAAAATCACACCAAAAGTCGAAGTATACGACTTTGCTGACTCACCCAAAATCCTGCAAGAATTGAAGCGATACGAGGTTACGGGCAGGAAAGTAGTGCGGGCACCATAAGAATCTCGGGGGTTGTGGGTGTGTATGTTTAGTTGATATGCATTGTGATAGGAGTTGCGAATGCATAAGTACGGAATTTTGTCGAGTTGAAGAGAAGAAAGGAGTTGAAAAAGAAAAAAGAATGGTACATCTCATCCGCTCGTATCACGCAAATGAATCTTTCTAAATCCTCCTTCAAAATAAATCTTCACATCAATCTCTCTAATACCAATCCCCCGCCTCCTCATTCGCCGTCACACTCTGCGGATTCATACTCAGTACCCTCTGCCCGGGAATCGTATCCGTAAACGCGCTCTCAAACACGCCACTAACCGCCCTCCTTCCAATCTCCTGAAAACTATCAAACCCGTCATTCTCCCCCGTAATGGCACTCCACTGCGCATCTGCCGGACTGCGGGCGGGCCCCAGATCGCTCCAGCGCGTCACGACGAGGGCCTGCTTGAAGCGCCCTTGCTCATAACTCCGGACGGATTTGTCTTCGACAAGCTTGAGCTCAAAGAGGTATTCGGTGGGGCACTTGGGACAGCGACGCATGGGACGGCATGTTGAGCACAAGGGAACCATGCCGAGGATTTTCTTGCCGAGGTTGCGTTCTTTGAACTTGTCGAGGGCGGTCGTGTCGCTCTCGCTCGCATACGGGATGTGCGAGAGTGCGCATTTGGGGATCGAGGTTAGGATGCCGTGTTTCCAGTGGGCGCACACGCTAAAGTAGGGTGTGTAGTCGCCGCGGCTGAAGAGTAGAAGGCGCTTTGCTGCGTCTGTAAGTCCGCCTTGGACGTGGTGTTGGGAGCGGACGCGCATGAGGACGTGCCCCTTTTCAGTGATGTGGTAGGCGGATTCGTGGGTCCAGTCGGAATATGGGTCTTTCCAGCGGCGTGCGAGGGATTGATGCGGGATACCATAGTCAGGGCCGTGGGCCCAGTTTCGGCGGGCGAGTTGAATGAAGGCAAAAGGTAGGGTGCGGCCGTCCGTGATGCGGATGCGGGGAGGAGGCATGTGGATGTTTGTCATGTTTGGGCATTCGAAGAGGGGGTTGAGGACGTTTTGGGGCTTTAGTGATTCGAGGCCAGGTTGGATTCGGAGATGCCATTGGGCGCATGGGAAGCAGAAGAGGTGGCGTGGCATTTTGGGATCCATGGCGAGTAAGAAATCTAGTCGGTGCGTGCGGTGCACTGGGTCCAGAAGAAGTTTGTACGGATGTTTGCCCAGTCGAGCATACATGGTCCGGCATGTTGATGATAGATTGGCAACATCCAAGGGTGATAAAAAGTCGGCAATGCGTAGCCACACCTCGGGCGATGCACTGGCAAGCATTGCCGTTCCATCAGGTCGTGAAGGGTCGTAAAGGAGAGATTCGTCGTCTTTCTCCTCTTCAATGGTGTCCACTCCATCGATATATGTAAACGCATGCATCATCTCAGTCAAGTCTTTTCTCTCTCCCGTATCCTTGTCAAGAACATCATCTGCTCTTGTTGGTGCCGAGGGCGCTCGATGCGCTTTGCTAAGTTTTGAAGGCTGCGCTTTCGGCGGCGAGTACGGACGCATGTTCTCGCTGTGTATCTGTGGCAGAGAACCTGATCTTGAGCTCTGTGGGTGATATAGTGGTGCGGCATATTGTGGTTGTCCCTCTGAATTGCGACGATAGTCGGCTGCTTGCAAATCAACAAAGAGATGTGTATTGCTCGTGTCAGTGAGTGCATTGATGGCAGTGTACGGGTTATCGCGCAGTGCATGCGGTGCAACCCCAACAACAACATCATCATACGACGGAAGGCCAAATTGAGTTACGACTGAGCCGTTTCTTTCGTCGGTGAAACTACCAGAGTCTTGACGTGCAGTCCTGCCCACACTGGCGGCCGAGCCAAGCTTTACAAGCATATCGCTGCGTGATCCTTTCTTAGAAAGCTTCTTCCGCCCGCCCTGCGGTTTTGCTTCTTTACCAGATTTCATGCCAAACATGGCCCGGAAGCCACTCTTTTTGGTTCCCTGTTCAGCCATGGTGAAGTGGCTGCCGCTGACTTGACGGTATGTCGTGTTTCAAGGGGAACAACGCAGTAAGGCCCTTCTACGGCTTGAGGAAGGATTGAGTAGGATTACGTACGATGCATGAATTCCGTTTACACGGGGAATGTGTTTCTCAGCAAGTGATGGGAAATGCCGCGACTTGGATGACGATCGTCATAGCGCGACGGCGGCTTGTTTCGGCAAGGATCCGAAAGCATCCGCTCAGTGTGAGTGTGCTTTCTAGTAGTACTCTAGGGCCGAGTTATCGATAGCATGCATGTCATGATCAACAAGACGCAGGTGGTGAGTAGTAAGCTTGAGCGTTCCCGGCATCAGATTGTGCAGACGGGCGGGCAACGCGTGGGGTGGCAAACGCGAAATATGCACGAGCTGCTTTGGCCACGTGATATAATCTGTCAGACACCTGTGATTCGTCTGCCATTGCAAGTGTATTCCCTGTCACACCTTGTCCACAGGTGCCTGTTTGTTGCCTTGCTCCTAATCAAGCCCTGTGACACTGGGAAATCTCCGGCTCGTGTAAGCCTCAGAGGCATTCGTACCCGTTCTGCTTAGTGTGAATTCACCCTTACGAAGAACTCATTATTCCTCATCCTCCGGGTTAAAGCGTGTGGGAAGAAGCGAGACAGGACTCGATGCTAGCGCTATGCAATGTTCTGAACATCCGATGAATAAGATCTACA